CAAGTATGTTCACCTGTCTGAGGTCGGTAACTGCATTGGTTCCGGTATTGGAGGCACCCACGCCTTACGAGGCATGTACAAAGACCGCTACTTGGATAAGCCCCTCCAAAAGGATATCCTGCAGGAATCCTTCATCAATACTATGAGCGCTTGGGTCAATATGCTTCTGCTGTCCTCTACTGGTCCGATCAAGACCCCTGTTGGTGCCTGTGCCACGGCAGTTGAATCTGTTGATATCGGTTATGAGACGATTGTGGAAGGCAAAGCTCGCGTCTGCTTTGTTGGTGGATTTGACGACTTCCAGGAAGAAGGATCGTATGAGTTCGCAAACATGAAGGCCACCAGCAATGCAGAGGATGAATTTGCCCACGGCCGCACCCCGCAGGAGATGTCGCGCCCCACTACCACCACGCGTGCGGGTTTCATGGAGTCACAGGGTTGTGGTATGCAACTCATTATGAGCGCCCAGCTGGCTTTGGACATGGGCGTACCCATCTACGGTATTATTGCCTTGACAACGACCGCCACGGACAAGATCGGACGATCTGTCCCCGCCCCCGGTCAGGGTGTTCTCACCACCGCACGGGAGAACCCTGGCAAGTTCCCGTCCCCGTTGTTGGATATCAAATACCGCCAGCGCCAGCTTGACCTGCGTAAGAAGCAAATCAAGGAGTGGCAAGAATCAGAGCTGCTTTACCTTCAGGAGGAGGTGGAGGCCATTAAGTCCCAGAGCTCTGAGCCATTCGATGAGTCGGAATATCTGCAGGAGCGGGCTCGGCACATTGAGCGAGAAGCTGTCCGACAGGAGAAGGATGCCCAGTTTAGTCTTGGCAACAACTTCTGGAAGCAAGACCCCCGTATCGCCCCTCTCCGCGGCGCCCTTGCTACCTGGGGCCTTACTGTCGACGACATTGGTGTTGCATCCTTCCACGGTACCTCTACCGTGGCCAACGACAAAAATGAATCTGATGTCATTTGCCAGCAAATGAAGCATCTGGGACGCAAGAAGGGCAATGCGCTGCTGGGTATCTTCCAAAAATATCTCACCGGACATCCTAAGGGCGCTGCCGGTGCTTGGATGTTCAACGGCTGCTTGCAGGTTCTTGACAGTGGCTTGGTTCCAGGGAACCGTAATGCTGATAACGTGGACAAGGTCATGGAGAAGTTCGATTATATCGTTTATCCTAGCCGTAGCATCCAGACTGATGGTATCAACGCTTTCTCAGTCACATCGTTCGGTTTCGGTCAGAAAGGTGCCCAGGTCATTGGAATCCACCCCAAGTACCTGTATGCAACTCTGGAACGGGCACAGTTCCAGACTTACAAGGCCAAGGTTGAGGCCAGACAAAAGAAGGCTTACCGTTACTTCCACAACGGTCTCATTAACAACAGCATTTTCGTTGCCAAAGACAAAGCTCCCTATGAAGATTCTCAACAGAGCAAGATCTTCCTCAACCCTGATTACCGCGTCGCGGTTGACAAGAAAACATCGGAACTCAAGTTCCCTGCAGTCCCTCCGAAGGCTAGTGACAAGGGAACCGAGAGTACGAGATCGATGATCGAGTCTCTTGCGAAAGCCAACGCCGCCGAGGACTCGAAGGTCGGTGTCGACGTTGAGAACATTGAGGGGTTCAACATCGAAAATGAAACCTTCATCGAGCGAAACTTCACTGCTAGCGAGCGAGAATATTGCCTGAAGGCACCATCTCCCCGTGCATCGTTTGCTGGTCGGTGGAGTGCCAAAGAGGCGGTCTTCAAGTCTCTAGGCGTTAGCAGTAAGGGCGCCGGCTCTCCGCTGAAGGACATTGAGATCGTCACTGATTCAACTGGTGCGCCTGTTGTCCAAGTAAGTACCACTTTAACCTGTCATCTTCGCGTCTGACGCTAACATGTTGCTAGCTTCATGGTGTTGCTGCTGAAGCTGCCGAGCAGGCTGGTGTCAAGCAAGTCAATGTTAGCATTAGCCACAGTGATACGCAGGCTGTCGCGGTTGCTGTGTCGAAATTCTGATCTTCGGGCGAACGAACAAACTGCTTTGATGTAATCGGAGTGTCTTAATCATGTTTACGTTTCTTGGCCACATATTCATATAGATAGATAAATCCGGGCCCGGCTTTCATCGGGCGAACCAGCCGGATCTTCCTTTGAAGTCTTTTGCCTTCTTCAGCTCTAGGGGTATATCTTGAGCAACAGTAGTACATATAGAATTTCCCGCTCTTGATCCTCGCAATTGAATGCCCATCCTGTTCGACATGCTTGACTCAAATTTGTATCTGTGAATATTACTCAGGTGTCACATCGAAGTACTGATACATGTAATGGTATAGCATCTGACATCTTTTAATTGAAACCTACAGTCTATGAAAGATAGGCCTAACTCATGCTGCAGATGTTGTTTAAAGTGAAAAGTCCACTATCATATAACGACGTATTGCCAAATGACCATGCGAAAAGAGGTAGCCAGAATCATCGGTGTTACCTACCCTCTACCAGAAGCTCTACTCAAGGGACCCCAGTTTTCCCGAGGGTTAAGCTGATATCGAACAAGACGCTTTCTCGCTGAGAGCTCCTTCCCTAAACTCTCATCAAAAACCACTTCCAAAGTGCTAGGATGAGGTCTAGCCGCGGCTTTGACCCGGGTCCCTTGACCAGAAATAGACGTTCTGGAATCGTGACGGCCATTGCTCTGTGTATCGCGTACCGATGTAGTCCCTGACGCTCGATGGGCACCGGCCCGTGTCAAAGCAGCTTCAAGCCTGCTGACTACATCCGTAATATTGTGCTCTTGCTCCATTACCAACTGAAGCTCCTTCTTCAACGTATTTAGGAGTTGCTGATCGTCGTCGCCATCTGTGGGAACCTTTCGGCATTTCGACATGATCACAGCCCCAGGACTTCCGGGTCTGAGAGCGCCCTCCTTGATCGGGGACTTCTGTCTGACCCATTCCCGCATAATTTCCCAAATCACATCCCAGGGGGCGTCAGTCCGAATTGTGTTTGGTTTCGCATGGGTGCGAGTCGCTCGGTAGCCCAAATGTCGAAGAGCCCCGCGCATCGCATCGATGGAAATGGTAGCAGTACGAAGAACCTTCGATATCGCACTCAAGCTAAAGTAGAATGGGGTTTTGTCACTCAAAGCGGGGTCAACCCGTGGAATAATGGCAGCAGTTTCGGCACCGGCCGCCGGCGCATCGGTAGGCTTCTGTGATGTGTTGGCGTCGCCAATGTCGAAGTTCAAATCTTCCTCGAGTGCCGTTGTTAACATGCCCTCAATTCTATCAACAGTGTGATAAACATCTCTGTCTAGCTTAGGAAGCATATCAAGGATATTCAGGATGAAATGTGGGTTGTGAAGTGGACCGGCCCACATTGGGCCCCCTACATGCATCTTCGAACCGCAATGTTCGCAACGGGAGTCTGAAGTTGGACCCTGCGCAAAGCCAAAATGAGGAAAAGGCTTTCCTTTTTTGTCAAGCTTCTGCTTGGTCTGCGTCAGAGACTGGGTTGACCATGCCCCGCAGCCCTCGTCGCAATTGAAGACCGTCATCATATTTCCAGAAACAAACTTGACCTGGGCAGGGGAGCGATGAACCCGGACAAAGACTCGCGCATAGAAATCGATTGATAGAGATAATAGGGGCTCAATTGCAAGTCCATATTTGGCGGCAGACATGGCAAGCGCATGTAGAATCAAGCGCAGTCCCCCTTCGTGGCAATGCGGTCCTTTGACCGGGACGCCACCATACAAGGCGAAAGCCTTCTCAGGATACCCATGCGAAGCCCACACTCCTGCATCAGTACAAGTCACACAGAGGAGGCCTCCATCCTTTACTGCCTGGACCGCAGCGTCCATGAAAGGTGAAGCAGTGCCGTATGGATCCAAATCAATGACATCGAATTTGCCGGAGTGGGGCACCACGTCCTGACTCTGATCTTGCTCCAAAAGGCTATACATGAAGACGCGTGCATCTCCTAGGTTGGGGCGGATACGCTCTTCGAGTTTGTTGTATTCGATATTTGTCTTCATTGATCGAATAGCAGATTCTGAAAGGTCGTTCGCAACAACGTAGGAAGCAAATGGGATCTCCAAGGCATAACGTAGCGCACGCAAGCCTGTAGCAGAAAGAGCATCTAGGATTGTGAATGATGGCGCAATGATCTCTTCCGAAGGCAAGTCGGGAAATGCTGCAGAGGCGGGCACAGTTGTCTGTTCGCTTTGGTCCTTTGGCTGGTTGGCTTCGTCCTCTCGCTTGCGCTTTTTACTCTTTGTCCCACCACTTTCTGCTAGCCTCTGCCTTCGCTTTTCCGCCTTCTGCTTCTTCACAGCTAAGACATGCTCCCCAAAGGCCCGGATTGCAAGAACGCTAAGGTCTCGGTTAAACTGCTGAATAGGGTTGTAGAAAACGGATTGAGATTCATCGTCAGCCTTGAGATCCTTCCTCGTGGCCTTGGAGGCAGCGTCTTGAGAGGGAGGGTTCAAAATATACGCCTTTCCTTCTTTTACGGCTCTGAAGTCCGTGCCAGCGTATTGGATTAATTGCTCCGAGGTGTCCATGGCGCGAACTTCAGTATGGATTTGGGGCGGATGATTTCGCCGAACGGGGGCTGGCGTATTCACCGTTGGGCGCAGAAGAGAGATTGACAAAACAGTAGGTACTGAAGCTTGAGAGAAAGAATTGACGGGTCTAAAACGAGCAAGGACAAAATGAAAAAGGCTCATTGACTGACTTGAACGTCACAGAGAACAAGTGAAGTAGGAAGGGAATGGATATTCTGAGAGAAGTGAATTTTTCTTTTCTCCCCGCGGGGCGAGTTTGAATGGTTCGAGCTCCCGGCGCCGCGCGCAAAAATAGAAAAAGGCACCGGGGTGAGCACTCTTACACCTCAGGATACCCAGCAACCTGAGCCCGATTGAAGAGAGTCTATGTAAGACAACGTTCATGTGAGGCACTTAGAAAATGGGAATCTATTCTACCATCGTTGTCACTGTCATTGTCATCATCATCATCGTCATTATTATTATTACCACGCCTTTCCAGGTCGCATTATGTCCAAAGGCATCCTATCTCATTCACAGAATCCATGAATACGCAGGCACTCTTCATATCCAGGATCCGATGATGGGAACCTGATTGTAGATATCGTTCCATCCACTGGCTTCCCACCCAGAGCCCTGACCGGCACGGCCAATGACTCCTAGAGCGCCAGCCAGCCAGATCGATGCTCCCACTGCAGCAATCGTATTTACAGTCCACCACATTCTCTTCTGTCTGCGGCATCGTTGCTCACTTCCAGTATAGCCAAGGTAACCCTCGAGAGACCCCTTTTTTGAATTGCGCTGCTTCCGGAGGGTTGTGACCTTCCAGCCCATCCAGGAAGCCCACCCACCAACAAAATGCCATACCCCAACAGCCACAAAAACCAGATAATATATGTTCCAGAAAATCGGAGACCGCGCAATGCCGTGAGCCACATAGCCCAGCCCCACTCCCGAGCTTCCTCCGTCGACCAGGATCGGACTAATACGATTGACGAGGACGTGCACACCAAGTAATGGAATGAGTGAATACCCCAAGCGTGCCTGCAGACTCATCCGTGGCCAGAACGTGAGCGCATACCGCTGGGATCGGGATTCTGCGCCATAGAGTCGGGCCCGCCGTGAGGAGCGGATATTGCGCAGAGCGATGCCAGAAAGGACATGAATCAAAACCGGCACAGTCAGAACAACATGTTCGAGTGACGGGGATTGATAGAGGGGCCTGGTGAGCAACAGATAATTTTCGCTTGCGCTTACGGAGCGGGTCGCGAGAGGAAGTATTGAGGTATTAGCAAGGTGTAGAGCAAGAAATAAGCTAGGCGGATACGTCGAGTATCGTTGAAATGCAGATACTAAGATTCAGAAAGCAAGGCATTAGTCCACGCAGGGTCAATCGCGACGGAAGGCTAAGATGAAAAGGCAACGGAGGAGTCGTACACCATGAATCCCAGCTATGCCCGCGGAGACCTAGGCCTCGTGACGACGGTGCGTTCATGTTCTGGCCCAATGAATCTTGAGATGATTTTTGCAACTCCGGGAAATATTCGCCGCGCTCAAGGTCTGGGAACTCATCCTCCACCGGAGAAGGGTCGATTTCTCGCATGGAAATGAATGACCGGGTGTCGATGTCCTCCGGCTTGTGCGAGAGGCCGTCTGGGGCAGATGTCATGGCGACGGGAGCACCGCGATTGGTTTGATATGTGTGGCAATGCAAAAAAGGAAGATATCAATTGATTCAACGCATTATTCCATGGGACTAAACATGGGCGATTTCCATCTTCAGTGACAAATTTAGGAAAGGAGAGGGAAAACAGACGTCACGTTGGGATGAAAGCTGGGATGGTTGTCTTGTACAATACAGTACAGTACCCAGTACATGCATAATCAGAAGCACGGTGATTGGCGTCTAAATTACGCGTATCGAACCGACCGGTGACGAGTAATTTTTCCGGCATGAGCACGAAACAGAATGTGAAGGTATCGTCTGACGTCGGTCCGTATTTCCTACTGATACATAATCGTGATGATGGTAATGCAAACTCATGCATACATTCATCAGAGAGCGAGTTGCGACATCCTTCCACACTAGCTCTACCCTTCCAGCAGTGCTCACAGATTTCGAGATAGACTTGGCAGACTTTCCACTTGGTTGCAGTTGCCAGTGATCCAGAGTATAGTGCTCTTACGCTATCATCATCTTGTTCCAAGATGGCGCCTGCAAGTGCCCGCGACACCCTCTCTCTCCTAACGGGTCTTGATCCGGGGAGCGATCCTTGAGCAATCGAGGACAGGGCTTTTTTCTGACAGAAACTTCCTTCGATAGCGCGGCTTCACCAATCCTACCCCCAAGGTATAACGCCCCCCCCCCCGGCCTTTAATGCCTTGCTCACCACCTCGGCTTCTGTTGACAAACGTCTCCGACTTGCTTCTTACCAGACTGAATCGGCGCGCTCAGCCTTGAACTCATTTACCTGCACACTGTGCAACAAATCCTACTCCCGCCACCCCGAATATGAAGCCCATATATCATCATATGATCATCAGCACCGCAAGCGCCTGCAGGATCTCAAACAGCTTTCCCGGGATCCAAACGCTGCCGAAAAAGCAAGACGAGCAGAGCGGAAAGCTGATGCGGAAGCCGGCTTAAGGGTACTAGACACCCACAAAAGTAGTCCCTCGATAACCGGAATAGGTGGTGGAAACAGCCTCAATTCTGACGGCGGGGGAGGCTTCAAGAAAGGAGGTTTCAAAAGCTCCTTTACGGCAGTAAAAGGACCTGTCGCCCCAGGTGCGCCTACCAAGAAGAACGTTCTAGGAGGGGATGACGATGATCATGAAGACTCCCCTAAGCCGGAATCCGCATACTCGAGCAGTCACACTCGGAAAACGACAGCGAAACGCCCCAGTCCCCAAGACAGACAAGAGGAAAGCGATACTGAATGCGAAGCCGCCGATGGGATTTATTATAATCCTCATCGCCCTACAGGTTGCTACCACGGATGTGCCGGGAGTAGGACGGACAATCGAGCTGAAATAGAAATTGTTTGAAAAGACGCAACGCTTCGAACTTTACAAGGCATTTGACTGTATATGGTTTAGGTGGTGTTCGTTTACCCATAGTATGTCCCCTGGCCCTCCACTCGTGGTTGTGATTTAGCATAGCATGTTCTGCAGGCGGCCTTTTCGTTCCACCATACTGTTAGAGCTAATTTCAAACTGTGAATATCCACGTGTATAAGGCATGGCATCCTCATTCACATGGTATATTTTGGTGACTGGACAACCACAAAAGAGATTTTTAAAGCATCAGCGCATGAAGGGATCTATATGAACTAGGTCATCATGAGTTGTTGTCTAACAATGCAAATTGGAATTGGTTCTGTTGTGTAGTCATACAAAATTCAGATCAGATGGGAAGGCAGGGCGAGATGGAATATTGGGAGGGGTAGGCAACAATCACGGGGTGCTAGGCACACGAGGCTTTATTATCTGTGGTTGTTCTTCAACAGCGCTTGTTCTTCATGAAGACCGGCCTATCTTACAAGCGCAGCAGCTTGGCGGCCTGATTGACAATGGTGTCTTCCTGGGGGAAGCTCATCTGCTCCAAGCCAACGGCGTAAGGAGTAGGGACCTCAGCACCAGTGACACGGACAGCGGGTGCAGTCAAGTAATCGAAGCCATACTCCATGGAGAGAGCAAGGATCTCAGAGGCGACGCCAAACATGGGAAAACCGGACTCAACACACATGATACGGCCGGTCTTCTTGAGGGACTGAATGATAGTCTCAACGTCAAGAGGCTTGACAGAACGAAGGTTGATGACTTCAGCCTCCACACCGTACTTCTGCTTGAGTTGGGCAGCGGCGTTGAGCGACTGGCCGACACAGCGGGAGAGAGAAACAATGGTGAGGTCCTTGCCAGGGCGTTCGATCTTAGCCTTGCCAATGGGAAGAACAAAGTCATTCTTCTGGGCGGCTTCACTCATGGGGAAGGCCTGACCGTACAGAAGCCTGTCGACCTCTGTCAGCACTGACAAAAGTTGGTGGGATGGTTGTCAATGGATAACCTACTCATTTTCCAAAACAACAACGGGATTGGGGTCACGAATGGCAGCCTTCAGCAAACCCTTGGCATCTTCGGCGCTCCAGGGAGCAACAACCTTCAAACCAGGGATGCTACCGTACCATGCAGAATAATCCTGGGAGTGCTGAGCAGCAACACCGGCAGCAAACCCATTAGGGCCGCGGAAAGTGATGTTGCAAGGTTGAATTCCTCCGGACATGTAGTGCGTCTTGGCAGCGGAGTTGATGATCTGATCGATGGATTGCATGGCAAAGTTGAAGGTCATGAACTCGCACTAGGAAGAAGAAAGAGACACGTTAGTGAGGCACGCGCGTCAGGCGGTTTGCTCGCCTTTAGCTTCCATTGATCGAGACTCACAATGGGGTGCAAACCGGCAAGAGCAGCGCCGACAGCGAGACCAGTGAAGCCAGCCTCCGTAATGGGGGTGTCGATAACTCTCTTCGGACCGAAGCGGTCCAACAGACCTCTCGTCACCTTGTATCTGTAACATTTCAGCCAGGTCAGACTGGGGAGCTTCAAACAATTCTGATGAGAAAGGGATTTACGGACGCTCCGTTGTACTGCGCGACTTCCTCGCCCATGATGAAAGTTTTCTCATTGCCCTCAAGCTCCTCCGCGAGCGCCTCGTTCAGAGCATCACGAACAGTGACCTCCTTGGTACCAGACTCGGTGGCGTAGCCCCGGAAGCGCAGGACGGAAGGTGTGCAGGTAGTTTGCGAGAAAGCCGGGCGAAGAGTAGTTGAGGGAAGACGCGAGGAAAGCAGACGAGCTGCTGGGCGGAAAAGTCGGGGAGCAGCCATGGCCGAACTGGAGAGTTAGTCGAGGAGATTAGAATAAGTGATCAATGGTCTAGGTCAAGCGAGAGAAGGGTTACAAACTAGAAGAAGCAATCGGACAGCACCTTGAAGAGCCTCGTAACTTGTCCAACACGGGGAATCTTTCGTTCAATGAGAGATGTGGTTTTTGGTGAGAGCTTCGAGAAAGACTGTTGGGCCCGGGCTGGCTGACTAAGTTAATATTCTCACCGGCGCCTTCTTCCGTTCCGTGGAATTTTCCGCGTGACTGCCGATAAGGGAACCATCGGCGATAAGGCTTTCCCGGAGTATTGACTCTTCGGAGTTGTTTGTATATTGGCGGAGTTGAGTACAGTAAATAGCTAATTACTACTACACCGACATTACGACGGAGTTCAACAGAGTATTCGTAATTCTCGGTCTCATCACTCACATACTACTTTTGTTATCCTCACCTCGTCTGGATCAAATCATTATGGCCCATACTTCTTTTGCAGCAGCAGCAGCTGTAGTGCTCTTGCTGTCGTCCTCTCCCTTTACCTCGATCGTCGGCGCACTACAGCCCTCTGCTCCGGACCCTGTCGCTGCGCCATTGCGCGACCTGGAATGGGGGCAACTCAACTTTCTACATACTACAGACACCCACGGCTGGTTGGCTGGACACTTACAAGAGTATGAAACTCGGATGTCCTTTCTAAAGCTTTACCAAATGGGTTCTTGCTGATTGAGTACCCGCGTGCTAGACCCTCTTATGCGGCGGACTGGGGGGACTACATCTCTTTTGCCGCCCGCATGCGCGACAAAGCCGAATCGGATGGCTCAGATCTGTTGGTGATCGATACAGGTGATCGAGTCGAAGGTAATGGTCTGTATGACTCTTCGGAGCCCAAAGGCGTCTACCTCTCCGAGATCTTGCGGGAACAACACATAGACCTTCTGTCATCGGGAAACCATGAGCTGTACAATCGGACGACGTCCCAAGCAGAGTTCTTCACCACTATTCCCAACTTCCGTGGAAGTTACCTAGCATCGAATGTCGATATCCTACACCCAGCAATCAACGAATTTGTTCCTTTGGCGCCTCGCTTCAAGAAATTCACCACGCAAAATCAAGGGATTCGCATTATTGCCTTCGGCTTTCTGTTCAATTTTAAAAAAATGACATCAACACTATTGTTCGGTCTGTAGAGCAGACTATCAAAGAAGACTGGTTCCAAGAAGCCATCAGAGACCAAGATGTGGACCTCTTCCTCGTTCTTGGTCATGTCCCTGTGCGCTCCGTTGAATATGATGCTGTGTACCGGGAGATCCGCGCTATCCGGTGGGATACACCTATCCAGTTTTTCGGGGGGCATTACCACATTCGGGATTATGTGCGGTACGACTCCAAAGCCTACGGACTTGCGAGTGGCCGTTTCATGGAAACTATTGGCTTCATGTCAATCGATGGGCTGTCCACCAGCAAACATCACATAAAGCCCGCCATGGCAGCGCCTAAGTTCAGTCGGAAGTATATCGATAACAATTTGTTCTCATTCTACCACCACACCGACCTGGATGAGGGCACATTTCACACGGAGCATGGCCGGAATGTATCCTTACTTATACAACAATCCAGAAGCGCTCTCAAGTTGGACAAAATTCACGGTTGTGCTCCGAGGGATCTCTGGATGTCACGCGTCAAGTACCCTCATGAGAACAGTATATATACATGGCTAGAGGAAGAAGTGCTCTCCGTGTCTCTAAAAGATGAGTCACGTAGTGGAAAGCCGGCGCTTGCTATTGTTAATACGGGAGCTATTCGCTTCGATATTTTTAGAGGCCCTTTCACCCAGGATACAACATATATTGTCTCCCCCTTTTCCAGTGGTTTCCGTTACGTCAAAGACGTTCCTTACCACAAAGCGAAGTTCGTGGTCGAGGTACTCAACAAACAGCCTCAAATAATGACCGAGCAGCGTCAACATGTAGGTCTACCGACCTGGTCACTCGCACCGCCTGAGCAATCAGCACATGCAGGCGATACAGCCGCTAACCGTGGCGAGAGTTTGCGCCCTGCATGGTACGCTTCAGGCTCGCTTACCGACCAGGCCTTACTTTCAATGAAAGACTATGCCGGGCCTAACCTGATTCCAGGGTATACTACCACTGATGATGCTGGGACGGATGGTGATGATACCGTCCATTCTCCTCTCACATTCTATCGAGTACCAAACTGCATTCAATCCCTGGTATCTCCGACCGCATCTGACCCGCCTGAAACGGTGGATTTGGTTTACATCGATTTTATTGAGCCCTATGTAGCACTAGCGGCCAAGTTTGCAAGCCTTGATGTGGATTTTACGCGGGACAGTGACGTCTACATGCCATCCACTAGTCTAACAAGCCTGATTCTGAACTGGGTCAAGACGAACTGGGGCTGCGAAGACGGATCTTTATGATCCGAACTGAATTTCGAGACTGGACACATTGATCGATGCAGAATATGATGCTTGACGGCCTCCGTTTCTCTGGGTCTTGGAGCCACGAAATTGACAGACGGCATGCGCCATTGATCGCCAGATATCATAGCTTCCTTGTTTTCCTGTACTGAAAAGCAAGAAATTAATTGTGCAGTATCACTCGTAGCTTGCTGTAAAGGCTTCTTTCCAGGAGACCTTCATATGAACATGATAATGAAAGTTACCCCTTTGGGGGAGGGAATCGACAATTTGTTTATATATGTAAGCAAGATTGGTTAGCTTTGCACGATTGTCACGGCCGAAATTTCGAGCTTGCGCTTCGGTGCTGTCATAAGAAAATTCACACTTCTATGCGGGATTTACTCCTCTGCCTCGTACCGGAGCAAGCCCTTTCCACTCCGGAAGCCGCTGAGTGTTTCCTGCACGCCCCCTACAAGCTCCGCACACTCTGTGTCCCAACGCCATTTAAGTTCCTCCACGGGAATATCCTTGAACTTGCCTGTCCGGGTCAACTGCAACACATCATTGATAGTGTTTTCCTTGAGCTGTGGGTTCTTGTCGCCCCATTTGCTGACCCAGAATCCATGAAAAGCAAGGTCCTTGAATATGAGCAGACCGGATGGCAGGGCAACCGGCTGCTTCGACATGGCTCCATATGTGACTAGACGCGAGCCCGGTGCAAGCGTTTTGGCTAGCGCAGTCGCGCTTTTCCCGCCAACGCAGTTCAGGGCCAACCGGATTGGCTCCCTCCCCTTGCGTGTAAGGTCATGCACAAGATTCTTGAATTCGCCGGAGAGCAGCTCGGCTTCTGTCACTACGGCTGTCGCGCCCAGGTCACGCAGTTCCTGCTTCAATTTTTCGGTCTCCTCGGGCGTCTTCCGTTCCCGCACAACATTTAGTGTTTTGATGCCCCATTCTCGCGCCAGTTGGATGGTAGCTCGTCCAACGCCGCTATTTGCTCCATTTTGAACCAACCATTCTTCCCCAGCGCGCATCCAGTCCCAGTCACAAAAATCCTTGATCATCCGGTACGCGGTCACAGGATTCACGCTGACGGTACTGATCTGAAGCGGGGTCAGGCCTTCCTTATTTTCGATCCTGATCAATTGAGACTCATCCATCTGAGCGTGAGTGCGCCAGGTCCCTCGTCCAGTCTGCTTCATAACCACCCAATCTCCCTTGCTGAGGCTGGTGACATGTGAGCCCGTAGCGATGACCTCAAACGCGCCTTCATTACCGGCTACAGCGCACGGTGCTTGTGTACCAAGCGATGTCTCAAAGGGTGGCTTACTCGGATAGACGCCTTGGATCTGGTTCACATCAGCTGGATTTAGCGGAGCAGCAAGTAGACGAAGGTTGACTTGGGTTCCATGGGGCGCCGATATAGAATGCTTGTGAAGCCTTAAGCTAAGTCTCAGCCACGGTCCTGCATTTGTGTGCTTCGAAGAGCCAGGAAAGGCCCTGGGACACGGGGCATAGACAAGACTTACTGCAGAACATCCTTAGGTTCCCCGTAACGAGAATAGACGAGGGCCTTAGCTTGGGTGTACCCGTAGACCGAAATCCATCTTTTGCTCTCCAATGAGTGACGGCAATTGAAACCTTGCCATTGATTTTGCGTCGGCGCAGTGAGCGACGCAGAGACTCTGACTCTGCAACTCAGTCCTCCGACGCGGCTGCGGGAAGCACCGAACGCTGACCGTACCAAGCTGTTGGAGAGCATATTGACAGGGCCAAACAATATTCTCCGACGTACAGAGTCAATCCTCACGTTGTGATATATTGTAGATGATTCTGAACTACTTCGCCGGTCTCTTGGGGGGGGGGGGAGAAAAGCCAGGGGAAGGGAGAGCGAAAGAAAGAGATAGCATGTGCATGACGTCGTTTCCTCTTCGGGCCGACGGAGCTGGAGAGAGCGGGTATGACTTTTCCAGCTGCAGTTTCCGTACGGAGTATCGGTACGTACTCTGTACATTGTCACGTGCGTAATTAACTGATCTATGTACAGTAACTTACGGAGTAATCGCAAGCTTTATTGTAGCTTGAGTCATCTAAAGCCGTCAATCCGTGCCCGTCTCGCTCAGGTCTCTTGCGGGTTAACCTTTGTATTTTGAGCTAAAGCAATTGGAAACACACACACAAGCAGTACGGAGAGAGGCTTCTCGGTCTTCAGGTACCAGAGCGAGCTGTCGACCACAGGTAAGGTATTTACCGATACAGAATTTGGCATTAATGCTCACCGCTCGGCGCATGCAAAGGATGTAGAGGGTTCACTCGGAAATATTGCCCTCTGTATGTTGGTCTCCGCCTCTTCTCCGCATTCTCTCGTTTCACGACGCAGCCTAACTCACTGTATCATACTAAATCCTAAATGTCATCTCTCCTGCGCGAAGCAGAGAAATGCATCGCCAACCAGAATTCATACACCGCTTTAAATGCCTTGATCAGTGCATTGCACTCCTCAGGCCAATGGCTGGATCGAATCAGAGAGGCAGATACGCGGCGCGCACAAGGTAACCACCAATATCTGACAACTTCACGCTACTGTCTTGATCTTCTTCTTTTCCTCATACTTGCGCAGGTCGACCTCAGTCACGGCTAGATGGACGGATAGTGGTTATCAAGGATAACATATGTACACGCGAACTTCCAACCACATGTGCTTCGAGAGCTCTGGATAAGTTTACCAGTCCTTTCAATGCGACTATCGTCCAACAATTGGAGGATGCTGGGGCCATTGTGGCCGGGAAGGCGAACCTTGATGAATTTGGGATGGGCTCGCACTCGGTGAATTCCCATTTCGGTCCCGTCAAAAATATGTACCGCAGTCGCAATGCAGAAGATCTATCAGCCGGCGGAAGCTCGGGGGGCAGCGCGGTGGCTGTTGCTACAGAACAATGTTACACGTACGTGTGATCTCTATCGAAGCACCCATCGGGTCATGGAGGACGACATTTAACAACATACACACATACAGGGCACTGGGAACTGACACGGGGGGCTCTGTTCGGCTCCCTGCCGCCTACACGGGGATAGTGGGTTTCAAGCCTTCTTACGGACTGATTTCCCGTTGGGGGGTAGTCGCTTATGCGAACTCATTGGATACAGTGGGTATTTTCGGGAGAGAGGTGTCTAGTGTACGTGATGTATTCGGTATGCATTCTAGTATTCACAATGTATTACCTCAAAGGAGTTGCTAACTTCCACAGACATCCTGAACCTGCACGACCCCCGCGACCCAACTAATCTATCTCCTGGTTCTCGATCGCGGATCGATGACCACTTCGCCTCACCTCGCCTTGCGTCTCGGATGACGACGAATTCCCTCAAGATTGGCGTTCCGGTGGAATACAACATTTCTGAGCTGGCACCTTCCGTACGACGTGCCTGGTCTCGCTCACTGAATCATATGCTACAGCAAGGACATTCTATCCACCCTGTGTCTCTTCCAACGACCCAGATTGCCTTGTCAGCCTATTATGTTCTCGCGCCCGCTGAAGCATCCTCTAACCTGGCTAAATATGACGGCGTTCGTTATGGAACGAGTCTCAATGGTGAGCACTACCACCCGCAGATGAACAGCTATCTATATGCACGAACGCGGGGCGAGGGATTAGGGTCCGAAGTCAAGCGAAGAATCTTACTTGGGGCTTTTAGTCTAAGCGCCGGCGCTATAGACAACTACTTCATACAGGCGCAGCGCATTCGGCGTCTCGTACAGCGAGATTTCAATGCGATTTTCTTGGCGAAACATCCACTAATGCCTCGTCCACTTGATGGGGATGAAGTGATTTATAAGGGCAGCCAAGCCCAAGTTGATGTTTTGGTATGTCCGACGGCACCCTCTTCGCCGCCAGCTCTGTCGAACCTTGTTGGCGAAGGTGCCAATTGCTCCCCCTTGGATGCTTATATGAATGATGTCTTCACCGTGCCTGCCAGCTTGGCAGGTCTTCCAGCTGCCTCAGTCCCGGTCACGGACGAAAGCACTGAGAGCTTGGCCGGCGTCCAAATAATAGGCCAGTACGGTGATGACGCCCTAGTCTTGAAAGTGGCCGGAATGCTCTCCAACAAGCGCCTTTAGAAATAGGAAGTCTTGTAATAGACTTAAGATTCGATCGAAGAAACTTATACACTACATGAATTCGGGAACCATCTGAAGATACAGACCACCACTCCAGCTTTGTGAGCGTTGACACAGCCTTGGGGGAGGTACTGTTGACTACTAAGCATACGTGTGTATATCCTTAGCCATTGCCGCAAGAAATTCGACATAGGACCTTCGAATTCGGTGAGGTCCATGTCTTTGAAAACAAATATCGTACAAAATGGTATCATGCGGATGCGAATCGATTCTCGTCGTTCAAGACATTTCCACGTCTTCATCGCCCGCCGCAGTGTCTATTGCCGCAGACAATTGTGTCTCCAGATCAAGTGTACCCGCAATATCAAGACTCATCACATTTTCAGAAGTGGTGTGACCTTGGCCATGGTCCCCTGGAGTGGCGGGCTCGTGGCTAGTGACGTTGGCTAGAGTTGCATCATGAACTCTAGAATTGGATGGTATAGTAGACTCGTAGGCAATCTCCACGCCCCCCTTCATCACCTCCGAGCCCCCGACAACTGCTTCAGGACCAGACCCATCGATTTCAGCATTGCCAACAACATTACCATCCACACCGCCCCAAACGCACATGGCTTCCACTTCATCGACGATATCGGCGATGACATCTTCAACTATCTGCTCGTTAAATCGCTCTCCTATCCCGTACACTGGCTCGTTGCTCTCGTTATGAGCTGGTGGACCAAACCACCATGGGCCATCGAAGCGGCATTCAACAGCACCTCCACCGTAACAACTAACAGCAGGGTAATAGCCAATCATCCCATCATCAGCGTTCTCACGCTCCCCAATTCCCAGATTATTGGTGCCATTAGCCAATCTGCTCGCAGGCGGGAGAAAGGCATACAGTTCTTTGAATGGAGTGCCCATCTTCACTCCATTTTTGAATACTGTGATACTGGAACCAGGAAGAGTACGTAAAGATGCATCTTCACCATTGAGCGGGGAAGGCGGGCCGAATGTCGGCGTCTCTTTAAGGTTGAATGCATAATCCCGTAGTTGTTTCGTGGGGAAAACATTTGATTGTTGCCAGCAGAAATCAGACTTGTAATGGAACGGAATGCGGTCACGGACGATGTTGGTGACGGACGGTGGGTCTGAAGTCGTGATTGAAGCATCACCATCGGCATTGGGCTCATATGTGCCTTCAACGATTTTCTTGTGAAGGGCTAGAGGGGGCAGCGTGATTAGAAGCCCAATGACATCCCCTTCTCGAATGGACTCGCCTTTGGGAAAGAAGTATTCGCACCGCATTCGATTGACCACCTCGCCATTCACATCACGTATACCATAGCCGTAACAGTCGATTCCGACATTGACATCAAGATCAGCTTCCCTCCGTGCGAATCCGAGACGGACATGACCTCGTGCAGGAATTCCAGTGTTTCCAACTGAAGCTGACTGTGAATCATTCACAACACCACTTACTATGCGCGCCTCATAATAGTAAGATCCTTCTCGCGCGCACACGTTGGCTCGTGCAGTATGCCAAGGCTCGTTGGTCGTTACAGCACGAGCATCTTCAGTGAAGAGAATCGCAGCGGGTGAGTCTTCAAAGCTAAACCGAGCATGGTAGGGTGAGACATCAGTTTGTCGATACTTGATGTGTGGAAAGCCCGGGTCGGCAATTGCGTAGCTATAACGGAAACCATTCTTATTCGTAAGCTTGTCGACAACCTCATAAAAATCCCAGCTCTGACCCGTAACCTCTGACTTCTTTGTGTTCACAAAATTCATCTGACGAGGTTGCGGAGGCAGTAAATCCGAAGCTCGAGGCTCAGCAAGCAATAAAGGTCGCAAAATGCTTAAGTCCGAACTCGGAAGCGCGGTGCTTTGAACAGTAATAGTCCTCTTCTTGGTGGGCTGTGATTCTTGATCCAGAGCTCTAGCCTCGCGCTTCTTGCGGCTATCCCGTTTTGTGCGCTTCGACTTTGTACTATCGGCTTGTACTGATGCATTACTAGGTGGCGCAGGAGAAGATCTGACATTTGTGTCTGCTAGGGACCCACCGAGCGGTGCGCCCCTTGAGGGCACTGTTGAAGATTCCACATTGGAGGGAGGCGCCGAAACCCCTGTCTGTTGCGTAGAAGCCATGGCGGCGAGGGCCTTATGATATGAGAACAGCCGGGGTTTGACGTCGTCACAACACACTATTTTCCTGATTTGAAGCACTCCTAGACCGCCTAGACCTTCAACTGGGGTCGCCTTAAATCCTCTAAAAATCGTATTGAGGTGACAGGTAGAAGGACTCAAACTTCTAATGAATCAGAAGGCCTCTCTGTGTGCAGTCGGAACTGCAAGCTCCTGAGGCGACTATGACTAGTTAGAAAGCATGTTCGGAATTTGGAAGAAAAGAAAAGCCCCCAGGTGTGCTTGGCTGATAGTCAGCAGATGACTTGTAGTCCCCATTATCTGCAAATACAAAGGACTATGACAAAACATGAAGCTAGTACTAATTGATAAAACCCACCAGCAACTTACCTGAAAGCAAACGAGCATGTATTTTGGATCGCCAAAAGTATGTAGGCTGCGCTGTATGATCAGCAGCCATAGCAATATTTAATGAGCACCATATTCAAAGTTATTTGGTCTCCGAGAACCAACTTGCAAGGGCGGAAAGCATTCGAGCGAGATAACTATGGGGCGGTGAAGATATCTACTAGGTAGGTACTGCCGGCATTTTCCTAATCCGAATGGAGTTTGTAAGCAGCCAATCCACATAACTAATGGAGGGGCATGGGCGGTAGGTTTCAAACTGAGCCACTCATGATACAAGTTTGAAGGCGGTCAGAACTGAGAATGGCAGAAAAAAAAATAGAACCGCATGATCTTGAAATTCACACACACATTTGTCAAAGGATGATATAGAGGCGAATAGCATTCGTTTCATGCGTCTTGTTCTGGCGGATTGATGGACTTGAACTTCTAACCTGATTCTTTCTTCTGAACTCAAACAAATCCTAAATATACAAGGTTACTCCAAGGGTGTCGAAAGTGACTCAACATGCCTAAAGCAGCAGCATCTCGCTCCGTCGCTGCCCGCCGGCACAATCCTCTCGCCGAGGACATGTTAACCCCAGCTGGTCACTTAAGAACCCAAGCAAGCAAAAAGGCTAATCGCAAATCCCGTCAAGATGAGGAACAAGAAGATGGTGAAAGATTCGTTGATGCGAAAATGTCTCGCAAGATCCTGCGCATCGGGCAGGAATTGGCAGAGGAGGATGCCGCGGAGCAAAAACTCTCGATGGGCGCAACAACAGACAAGACGAACACTGCCTTCGACTTTGAGTCTCGGCTAGAAGACGAAGAATTCCTGTCAGATGACGAGAGGTTTCAAAATGAGCAATGGGACGATGTGGAGGAAGTTGAAGAAGTGGTATGCTACCCCGGTTCTTTCTATTTTCCTAGGATTTCGAAGGCTGTGCATATATTGACTATAGCCTCAGGAAGTTGATCCTAACGATCTTGACATGTTTCACAAGTTCGTTCCCGGTGGGGATGAGGATCCGATATTCAACCCTCGTGCACCGGGGGCCGAGGGCCAGACAACAAATCTGGCGGATTTGATCCTTGAAAAGATCGCAGAACATGAAGCCAGACAGGCTGGCGAAGGTGGGCCGTACATTCAAGGCGGAGGGTTGGCGGAAGATGCTGTTCAGATCCCCGCAAAGGCGGTTGAGGTTTACGAGAAGTGAGATTTCTATGCTCAAGCTGCTTTACAGTGAACTTTTTGAATGCTAATGAGAAACCCAGAGTCGGTATGATTCTCTCTCGCTACAAGTCAGGCCCCCTTCCGAAACCTTTCAAGATTCTCCCCTCTGTACCCAACTGGCCGACTCTTCTCTCGATCACGCGCCCAGAATCCTGGTCTGCCAACGCTGTTTATGCCGGTACAAGAATCTTCATCTCCTCTAAGCCTGCAGTTGCACAGGAGTTTATCTCGACGGTACTGCTCGATCGTGTCCGTGAGGAAATACATGAGACCAAGAAGCTCAATGTCCATACCTACAATGCAATGAAGAAAGCACTCTACAAGCCCGCTTGCTTCTTCAAGGGACTGCTGTTTCCCCTAGTTTCCAGCGGAACATGTACTCTTCGCGAAGCCCATATTGTCTCCTCCGTCATTGCTCGAGTCTCAATTCCGGTCCTGCATTCGGCTGCGGCTCTGCTTCGTATGTGCGACCTTGCCGCGGAACAATCCCTGCGATCTCTGGAGAGTACTGGTGCGGTCAATGTCTTCATTCGCATTTTTTTGGAGAAGAAGTACGCACTTCCATACAAGGTTATTGATGCGCTTGTCTTTCACTTCCTGCGTTTCCGCGCGAACGACAGTGCAGACGAGTCAATGATGACAGATGGGCCATCCCGTGACGCTAAGGCCTACAAGCTTCCTGTCTTGTGGCACCAGTCATTGCTGGTGTTCGCTCAACGCTACCGTAACGATATCACCGAGGATCAACGAGAGGCTCTCCTTGACTTGCTCTTGGTTCAAGGGCACAAGGACATTGGACCCGAGGTTAGGCGCGAATTGCTCGCCGGTAGAGGAAGAGGGGTCGTTCTACCTGATTCTGAACGGCAAGGTGCAGTCGATGCCGGTGATGATACGATGGATGTCACATTATAGTCTTATCGCCACGAAATCATGTGTCGGGAATGGCTCATCCCCTTCCTTGCATTTAGCTGTGATATGATCAGGGTCGTGACTGGCATTGGCGTTATTTGGGGCAGTCGAATTTGCGCATATTTTTGTTCTTCTTTTTTGTTTGCTCCCGGTTCTTAGAGACATGAACTTTTCCGATATTCACGAAATCATATTCAGTTTTTAATTCATCAATGTGACAAAGCTACATACACGTTGTAAATAAGGTAATCATTTCAGTAGACATAATTCAATGTGAAGAACCATGTAAATGTTGCAAATTAACTACACGACCAGAGCAATTTTAGTGGCCAGAGATTGATTCTACTAGACTTGCATGAGTACCCAGCCTGCTATTCTTCTGCATTGTCTACTGTGGTGTAGCTACTTCCTATCCGAAGTGAAAGTGCGGTGATACGGCATTCGGGATGACGTTGCCACGCTAAGTCGCCGCCGCGCCGCTATCGTTGCCCCTTCTGAGAAAGTAGCCTAATCCGTCCCCGTAAAGCGTCGGTCATAAAGCGTCGGTCATTTTGGCTTTGTTTCTTCTCAATACTTCGAAGTGTCAATTTTTGGTATTAGCCTACTCACTGCCCAACATGGTTCGAAAGGACCCGATCTTTGAGGCTCGTACCAATGTCAAGGTGTGTGTGTGTGTTCTCTGCCCCCGCAGCAGTGATAGCATTGCTATCTCGCTGCGACCAACCGCATTTTATGCTGAAGCTTCCACCTTTACTCACGCAATATTCCTGTTACAAATTTTAGCTGCACTCCAATCGCTTGAAAAAAGAGTCTGCCCGTGCCGAAGCGACGTTCAAATCTGAGAAGGCGAAGGCCGACAAGGCAATGAAAAATAGAGAGTTTCAGATCGCTCGCATTCATGCCGCATCTGCTGTACGTGAGAAGAGAAGGCAAGTGACGCTCCGAGCCGAGGCTGCTCGCGCAGATGTCATCATCAACGAACTCAAGGCAGCACAAAGTACGCGAGATACCTCCCGGACTCTTGCCTTAGCTTCAAGGGGGCTGGATGCGGCTTCGAAAAGTGTCAACCTAGAGAATCTGGTCTCACACGCAAACAATTTTCTGGCTCGCTCAGAGGATTTCAAAATAGCAAGCAGTGCCATAGAGGATGTCGCCCAGGGTGTTTCGATGCAGGAATACGGTGCGGAGGGTGAGGCCGATGTTGATCGCTTGATGGAACAACTTGCAGACGATGCCGGCGTAGATCTGCGCATAGCATTGGAGCAAGATGCTGCTCCTCGTGAGGAAGTCAGGGATCAGAAGCAAGTTGACTCGGAGCTGGAGGATGGTCTGGGTGCTAGACTAAGAGCTCTACGGGCAGCAAATTAGATGTGACTCTGCATGGTCTATACTCCGTTTGTTTTGTTTTGTTTTTGTGTCTTGAATTTTGAGCAATATGTGCTGGCGCGAACACGGTGGAGGCAAGTGGCATTTTCATTATCACTTGTCAGGCTTGTTGGTCAGAATGCTGCTTTGGGTGTTAACCGGCTGCTTCTTATTTCATCTTCATCAAGCGATATCCTAAGGGGCTTCGACACATAGCATGTGGCACGGTTAGCTGTCATATACCGGTCAACAACTGGGCCATACAATCTAGTTCATGGCCAAGCCGTGTTTGCTTGCTGATTCATTTCGATTCTCCTCAGTAGCATTGAGTAGGTTTGATGTTTGGGACCTCCTCTGGTGGTATACACTTACATTCCAGGATATCTTCAGGGGTTCGATCGATTGCAGATTAGCTTCGTTACCCAGACAAGTGGTCTAGCATAAGCCGAAAGGTTCCAAATGACTTCTGTTTACCCGAGCTAACGAACCGTCTACTAAGATAACCTGCCTGCAAAATGCTCGGGGCTATTGTGGCTTGCAATAATTTCATAATACGTCTTTACAACATTTGATGCATGAAGTAGCCGGGCTAGCTCAATCGGCAGAGCGTGAGACTCTTAATCTCAAGGTTGCGGGTTCAACCCCCGCGTTCGGCTTTCATTATCATTCGTTTGTTTTTTCCGATCTCCGTGGCTGAGCTGTTGACTAAATCTAGCACTCATTTTTTGTACATCCCCCCTTCCCTAACCCTTGCTTCTCCTACAGTTTGCACCCCACGCTCGAGGTGAGACCTGTGATTGCACAGAGCAGTGTACAAATACAACATCGCTGTTTACTATCGCTCTGCCTGTTGGCATCCCTCAGATCGGGGAGGAATGCCGCGTTCCTTCATGAGCGTCCATACTGCCCGATGGTGACACCCGCATATCACACATATATATCTGCTTCCCAACATACCCCCCTTCCGGGACATCGCATTGAATAATCTATCACCCCCTCTTGATACAAACCCAATGTCGCATTCTCGACAGGCGGCCTGCTTGAACTGTAGGAAAAGCAAAGTTCGATGCAATCGAACCAAGGACGAAACATCCTGTGATCGATGCAGACAAGCCGATGCGACATGTGTGATTCCGAGTCACCATGTCGGTCGACAGAAGGGTGTCAAAAAGTGCGCACCGCATACATCTACATGACTTGCAATGACAACAAGTACTGACACACTAATGTCAGTAAACGTAAAGGACTGGAAAAGGCACTGCATCAGATTGAGCAGGCTATCAAGCGGCCCCGAGCCGAGGATGCCCAAAATTTGATCTCGAACCTTCGGGGACTGCTCGACAACATACAAGGGCAAAATACGCATACCGAGACGGATGATTTATCAGAGGAACCCGCTGGATCGTCTATTGTATCAGTCGCCGAGTACGACAATCCGGGAGATGGCTTGTCACTGGATGATGCAGAGAACCCCCTGCAACTGCTTGCACGCGCTTCCGACTTACAGCTGTCACCAAGTGATATGCGTGGTGTTTCGGGATTGACATCGTCGACGATCTTGCAGCCATCGGGAATGTACAACGTCGATGACGGCGACACTATGGCCTCAGCCACATCTTTCTTTATCCCCACCAGCGCAAGCTTGGACACTGGTCCCACGTTGGATCCTATTGAGCTGGGGCTCGTTACACTCGATGAAGCAGAGTCGCTGTTCTCATAGTATGTCCAAAGATAAGTCTAGTTCTTCTTCAACCACTGGAATCACTAATCCCGTCCAGTTTCTACCGCAACCTCGCCCACACTCGGTGGGGTCTCGACCCTCTGATCCATAGTGTGTCATTTGTCCGTTCGCAGTCTGCGTTTCTGTTCACCTCGATGATGGCTGCAGCGGCATTGTTCTTGCCCTCAGCCGCGGCAATATCGAAGAGACTGTCTAGACATCGTGCATTTCTAGCCCATAATGTCATCACTCAGAGGCATCGATCAGTCGAGATAGTTCTTGCTTTCATGGTAAATGTCCCGTGGATGGACCCCGGAAACCACTTAGGAGATGACGATACTTGCATTTATATCGCGATGGCTCTGACTGTTGCATTGGATCTATCTCTGAACAAAATCGTACTTCCCTCAACAAGCTTCGACAGCAGTCGTCTAAAACGACTTGCCAAAGCTGAATGCATCGATGCAAAGAGAGCACTGCAGATGGACGGCTTTGGTGACGTGACTTCAGACTCTGTATGGTCTCGTAGGCTCCTGCGACGACGCGAGAGGGCGTGGATTGCACTCTTCGTACTCGAACGAGGGTAAGATCTCTTATTTTGAGGCGATCTAGAGGAGATCATTTGTTCTGCAGTATTCTAAAGGATCTCTACAGTGTATGCCTTGCCCGGGGAAGAAATTATACGGTACCCTCAACAGCTCTCATTGAGAACTGTGATCAATGGCACCTTTCTGATATTGCCGACTCTCGTGATGGTCCAATGAATTCCATGGCCGTCCTCCGAAGAAATCTGGTGAGTTGAATTTCCCTGCTCTGGACCAAACCCGCGCAAGGCCACTATGAAACGCTTCTAACCGGAACAACATCATACGCCGCCTACTAGGATGAGCTTTTCAAAAGAATAAGAGCCGAGTGCGATAAATCCACGAATACTGGCTCGGGAGCTGCTCAACTGTGCGTACGATTGACGAGTTTCGGAGTTTTCAAGCTGATCTCGGTATTCAGGATAAAACAGCTCATTGAGAGTTTCTACGGGCAATGGTATAAGGCTTGGACACCGGCTATTGGCGAAGGCCAAGGTAAGCAGCCGTCGCCGCCTTTTCCTCTACAGTCACTAAAAGTTTATCAAGCATCATCTCTTCCACCGTATGTTGAGATCTTGGTTATACACACGCAGTTATCGACATATGGGGGCGTGATCAACCATCCCACAGCGCCACTCGAAGTGAAAAGGTTTTTCCGTGCAGCGGGCCTCTCGTCTGCGTTGAATGTTCTGAGGGCGGCCATCCAGGGTGAGTCGCGGTTGAAGTCAATGCCGAACAATACTGTTATCATGATTTCGTTCGCGGCATGCTCGGCATTGAGTTTAAGTACCATGCCGCCAGATAGCAGATCTAGCCTGGCCCCTAGCGTGCGGAATCTGGTTGAAGAAACTGCGGCGGTTCTGGAAAGAATAGGGGCTGTCCCAATTCACAGGAACGGAGCCTCGGTACTTTATGGAAGGTTTCTGCGAGAGCTTATTCGGCGCTCTCCTTCGAGCTTGCAGCCTGAAAGGACATCCGAAATACGACCGCTAACCCAGGCTGAAAGGTCTCAGCCGCCAACCACAGTAGACTCATATGAGCCAGTCATCAGAACACAGGAATCATCCTCATTGCCCTCAATGTTCTGGTCCGAACCGATCCAATTCTCCGCCATGTCTGACGATCAAATCATTGATGCCGTCAACCAAGTGGATACAGCCTTCGGGACGTTTGTTCCTGGTATTCCTATGGATGACTTGACGCATTGGGAATGGCTTGATTTTGGAAGCAACAACGCGACCGACATTAGCAGCGTATAATTCATTGCTCCACAATTCCGTTCATTCTCGCTATATTCAAACAAACATTTTTACTCACAATTCGTAGCTTATCCTAGTTCTCCTATTGATCGATTACATCATTGGGCATGATCCACACGTCGGCGTTCAGAAGTAGCGCCGAAGGCCCAAGGGGGCCGACCTTTCCAAGTCGTTTTAAGAGCCAACGTCTTCCTGTCCCTCTCCTCGCGCCAACTCGAGAGTCAAATCAACGCTTGTGCCAATCAGAGAAATAGGCAGAACATCTTGGCTATGGCCACACCCAGAATCTCGACATTCGCTTTGTCGCGGAGGACAATCGTCGCCGCTCGGCCGCAACCCCCTCTGCAATTGCGACAAGTCAATCCTCGGTCCTTTCTAGGTAGTAATAAGAATCGGGCTTCTGCTCGCTTTTCGACAGCCAGGGATGAGACCTACTCACAGGCTCCAAGGATCGATTGTGGGGCCTCAAAACTGTTCGGAAGTGCAGATGAGGCAGTGGCCGACTTGAAGAGCGGGTCAACCATTCTCAGCTCGGGGTTCGGCCTCTGTGGTGTTGCAGGTAATTACTAGCCATAGTCCTAAAACCTTGGCAACATCGAATGACTGACCTTGCAACTAGAAACTCTGATAGCGGCGATTCACCGCCGAGGTGCAGACAATTTACATTCACTAACTGCAGTCTCCAACAACGCAGGTGCTGCTGGAAAAGGCGGGCTTTCAACGCTAACACAGGCTGGACAAGTGAATCGGCTTGTCCTCTCCTATCTTGGCAACAACAAGGCATTGGAAAAGAAGTATCTTTCGGGTGAAATCTCGATTGAGCTCACACCGCAAGGAACACTGGCTGAGCGGCTACGCGCTGGTGGCGCTGGTATTCCAGCCTTCTTCACCCCCACAGGTGCACGTATGTCTCACACGTCAATATCTCCCCAACAGTACGCCAGGTTCGAACAATGGCTACTATGTGAACTTCACCGACTCACATCGTGTAGATACCCTGCTACAAGATGGAGCAATACCCGTTCGGCTGGATGCGCACGGAAAAGTGCTCGAGCATGGCAGACCACGTGAGACCAGGGCATTTAATGGCAAGACCTATCTAATGGAGACTGCATTGACCGGAGACGTGGCAATTCTCAGAGCATGGAAGGCCGATGAGGCAGGAAATTGTGTGTTCCGGTAAGGATCATTCACCACGATATTCCCCAGAGGCACTTTATATACTGAACCTCAAAACACAATCTAGGTATACTACTAAGGCATTTGGTCCGATCATGGCCAAAGCAGCTACTCTGACAATTGTCGAAGCAGAGAATATCGTCACCGTGGGCTCGATTGACCCCAATGACGTCGATCTTCCGGGGATTTTCGTCGATCGGATTGTTCCCGCTACTCAAAAAAAGCACATCGAAATTAAGAAGCTGAGATCAAGCAATGATGAAGGCGCCGGTGCAGCTGTCAAGGATGCAGCAGCGTCCCAAAGAAATCGCATCGCCAGGAGAGCTGCCAAGGAGCTTAGGCAGGGTTACTACGTGAATCTGGGAGTTGGTAGGTGGTGTGGCGCAATATGTCTCACTGCAATTGTACTCATAATTTGAAGGAATCCCGACCCTTGCTCCCTCATTTCTGCCGCGTGATGTGAATGTCTGGGTACAGTCCGAAAACGGTATTCTCGGCATGGTAAGAGATCGCTTTCGACTACACTTTCAGCAAAGCTAAGATGACTGACTTCTATAACAGGGCCCCTATCCCACAGAGGAAGAAGTGGATCCGTAAGTGGTTAACTGCTGATACAAGTAGCTCACGTTCGGATTTTCTCACCCGGCTCTTCCTAGGGACATTATCAACGCAGGAAAAGAGACAGTTACCCTAGTTCCGGGAGCTGCCACCTTTGATAGCACCGAGTCGTTCGGCATGATCCGTGGGGGCCATGTGGATGTCTCCATTCTAGGAGTATGTGTCGACTACCCTCGTCCATCATTGGCAGAATATTCCGACTGACGCTCTAATTTCAAGGCTCTACAAGTCAGCGCCAACGGCGACCTGGCAAACTACATGATCCCCGGTAAAGTCTTCAAGGGAATGGGCGGGGCCATGGATTTGATTTCCAGCCCAGATCAGACCAAAATTGTAGTAGCTACCAGTCATACAGCAAAGGACGGATCGCCCAAGATCGTATCTCAATGCAGTCTCCCTCTGACGGGAGCAAACTGCGTTAGTACGATTATCACAGACCTGGTAAGCCCGCAAATCTCCGGCTCCTGGGACTCTAGGTTAGCTAATGGGTGTGGTGGTGTGGTTAGTGTGTGTTTCAAGTGGACCGGAAGAAAGGGGAGCTCCTGCTGACAGAACTTGCTCCGGGAGTGGAAGTTAAGGAAGTGAAAAGTAAGACCGGAGCAAGCTTTGCGGTCGCAGACCACCTGGAACTCATGGAGTAATGTGGTGGTGGTAGCGCCCCCGGTTATTCTACGATTGTACTGTACATACATAATCCTTAGGTTTCAGTGTGAAAAAAGAAGAACTGTCGCACGGTAACCAGAATCGCATGCCGAGGCGGATCGTACTTGCAGCAACCAAATCCGGAGAAGAACTGTAGTGGGGTGGGTGGGGTTCCTTCCTTTAGGTACAGTACTTACTAAATTGCTAGGTAACGTTAGTACTGTAGTATTGTAGTACTGTACCTCGTATTATACCTAGTACCTACCTACCTATAGTACTTAGTAGATCCTTCCTCTATGAGCGGCTGGAGTAGCTACCTAGTCCGGTATCCCTTCAGTTAGGCACTGTACAGAACTTGGAAACTACTAACTACCTACTCTACTACTGGGTAACTCAACTCTTCTTGCATACTCTTCTCGTAGCCAGCGGTCTATATTGCTTTATTCTGACCACATCCTCCTCTCTGACTGGTCTCATCCCACCCTCGCTACTTCGCTACTCCTCTGACTGGACTGCTGCTGTTTCTACTGTCGCTATACTATCGCTTCGTGCACCAGAGTCCATGAACTCAGCACCCGAAAGTAGTATGCAGAACATGGATCCTCTTCAGCCGCAGAGCAAAGACCACGAACCCGCCAAGCAGGACCTTCTCGTGGAACAAGGCCGTGACGACGAAGAACATCAGCGATGGGTACGGAATCTCTTGTTCAAAATGGACTGCAGGTTAGAGCCAATGATTTTTATCATCAGCTTTTTTTCAAAGCCACCAACGCGTGCTTCTTCTAGGCTCCTGCCGACCCTATCCGGTCTCTTCCTCTGTTCTTTTCTCGATAGGACCAATGTAGGCAACGCCAAGATTCTGGGCTTGGAGGACGATATCAGCATCACTGGCCATCAGTATGATATAGGACTGACGGTATTCTACATCATGTACATCTGCAGGTAAGACAGGCCAGATACACTATCAACTTTGTTCTTCTCCACTCTTATCGGTACTAATTCGGTTACGTCCTGTGAAACGTCGATCAGTGAGCTCCCCAGCAACCTGGTCATCAGAAAGGCCTCGCCCAAGGTTTGGCTGCCCTTTCTGACAATGATCTGGGGCATATTCACAATGTGCTTGGGTTTCGTGCGCAACTTTGCTGGCTTCGTCGTTGTCCGAGCCCTCTTGGGGACTGCCGAAGGCGGACTACTTCCTGGAATCGTGGGTCCTGACTGGGCTTTTTGTCTTTCTCTGGGGTAGACTGACTGATTCCGGCTCGAGGTCCTGTACCTGTCATTCTTCTACAGACGAAATGATTTGGCTTTGCGCATCGGAGTTTTCTATACAGCCGCTTCCCTGTCGGGGGCTTTCGGGGGTGAGTCAACAAACTGTGGAACGAAGTTGTTGAGAGACTTTTGATCCTTGATGGGAGTTATGCAGGGGCCTTAACTAACAGGATGAAGGCCTTTTAGCGCGTGGACTAGCCCAAATTGGCCCTCGGGGGGGGCTTGAAGGATGGCGCTGGATCATGATCATCGAGGGCTTACTGGTGAGTTTCACTGTACCACGCGCGGCAGTGAGTTGGTGTTACGTCTAATATGGAGCACAGACATTTTCTGTCGGCGGGCTGAGCTGCTTTCTGCTGCCAAACAGTCTAGAGACGGCATTTTTCTTGACTCCAGAGGAAAGAGCATTTGCTCTTGAAAGAGTCATGCTTGACACCCCCTCAGTTGAGTACGCGTAAGTCAGGGCTGCCCTTTCAATTCTACGAGCCAGCATTCCCACCCACCTGGCGAAACTGACTCTTGAGATTAGGACGACGGAAGATGAGCGGGAGACTCTCAAGTGGACTGAGGTGCGACGAGGGCTTCTAGACCCACGAATGTGGTTGTCTGCCACAGCCTACTTCTCAATCTTGTCAGGGCTGTACTCATTCGGATTGTTTGTAAGTGACTATGTTCTCGGGTCTTTTCTGCTAGGGCTAAGCCTGCTACAATGTCTAGCTCCCAACCATCATTGAAGAAAGTGGTTTTGCGCGAGATCCAAACCAAGTTCAATTCTGGACCGTTATACCATATGCTGTTGCCACCGTCGTGACCGGTGAGTCTTTGAGCATGCATCTTTCGGTATCTACCACAAAGCTGAACCGTGCTTAGTAGTTGTGGCTGTGGTATCGGACCGGTTACAGCTACGCGGAGTCGTGATGCTCTTCACATTACCGATTGCCATAGCTGGATACGGAGTAATTGCCAATATATACTCGCCATCAGCCAAGTATGCAATGACCTGTCTTATGGCCACTGGGTTGTATAGCAGTGTACCATGCATCTTGGTCTGGAATTCCAACAACTCTGCAGGACATTATAAGCGTGCCACCACGTCTGCCATGCAGCTGACCATTGCCAACTGTGGAGGGCTTCTTGCTAGTAGGTTCTCCCTTATGTCGTAACAGCAAAACTGGAATCGCGCTCATTATAAAGCAGCTTTCAACTACCCCGACCAAGACAAACCCCAGTATCATCGAGGACACACAGTAATTCTGGGACTTCTGGTGTTTGCATGGTTCATGTGAGTTGAGAGACTAGATCTTGGAAGCCAGGGGATGATTGCACGGAGCTGATGTGGAGCCGCAGGATCTTTTTCAATGTTTTATACTGTGCCAAGATCAACCGGGACAAGGCACAAGGTAAGTATGCACAATATGCCGGATGCCATGATGACCGAGATCCTGCATTCAGAATGATGCTATAGCCCGTGTAGAACTTTTGAGTGTCGGTGTTGAGGTGATCGGCCGACCGGCGACAGAAAAATCGGAAAGCCAGCCAGAAGGCCGGTAAATCAACTCTTTCAACTCTTCGACTGCTTTTACATACCTAGTCAATAGACATACATGGATATGGCCGTCATATGGGACATATGGGAGAGGCTGCGGGCGTTGTCACTTTTGATGTACTGTAACTCTGCAGATTTAGAGCCGAAGGACGCATGCTCCGATATTGAACAGATTACATTATTCCACTCCTCTTCTGTTCTGTGAAGATAGAAGACTTGGCACTTCTAATCGTTTATTCCTTGCAAGCTACATGGAGGGAATAGTACAGCATCCAAGGAAATTGTGAACAGTATCTTTCACTAGTATCATGGTCATGTATTGGCCCACCTGCTCATGGAAAACGCTGAATATCGACTGAAACTAACTCAGAATCAAGCGGCACAAAGTGCTGCCAAGTAGTAGGGCTCAGCCTTGTGGCCTCTCTTGGAGTTGATAACAGAGAAAGCAAGGCTAAATTTACATGGAGGAAAATTGACGTATAATAACTTCTCTATCACTTTGTTGACATGGCCTCGGTCATGGCATGGCTTATTTTCCGGCACCTGGAGACTTACCAATTTCTCGAGAAGCTTTTCTACCTCTTCTAGTTACCCTCGATGCCGGTTGAGTCATGGATAATCAAGTCCTCGAACGTATGTGGCTTGTATCCGTTAGAACACCGTTATGTGCTGCGAGTGTTTGACTCTTTTGTACTGATTGTGAGAGTCAGTTGGTCGCTAATATGTGTGCTTGGCGCTTCTTGATTTTTCTAAGTGTGGATGCTGTACCTTGAAAGTGTTCCTTGTGCCGTACTTCGATGAACGCTTACTATTTATTTAAGGATAGCTGGCTGGGGCTAAGATTAGTTCCAGGCCATCAGTGCACTCAAAATCAACGTGCGTGGAAGAGATATTATCACACTCTGAGAGAGAGAGACAGAGAGTGCGCGCACGAACTGAGGGAAAAGAGGATATTTCTCGGAATGGTAATATGTACAAAATAGTCAGGGCCCTAGAAAACGTCGGACCTGACTACAATGAAGCTGTCGCTTGAAGTCCGACCTCGGAGGCCATTTCACCCGCCGCTCGGCTCTCACGTAGAGATTATTCGGCCTAATGAGCTGGAACATTGGGTCGTACTCCACCGTCGAATCCCCCTCTCGGGTGAACTTGTATCGGTACAGAAGCTTAGGCAGGAATATCTTCACCTCCTGCAGGGCAAAGTTGAAACCAATACACATACGGGGGCCTGTTGCGAAGGGGATATATGCGGTTTTATGCCGGTTCTTCACGGTCTCCGTGTCCCAGCGGTCCGGGTCGAAGCGAGTGGGATTATCCCAAACATTCGAGTTATTGTGCAGATGGTGCAACGCCCCGACAACAACAGCGCCCTCGGGAAGTTTGTACCCCCCCGGCAAGATTAAATCAACTTTGGCGGTCCGGGCGGGCTGTGCAAAAGCACGTCAGTAAACTATTTGCTAGGGTCCTCCACGGCAATTCTGCTGCCATAGAGGACATGAATGGCTCTCCTACCTGGAACGACGGGTTGTGGCGTCTTTGGGTTTCTTTGATGAACTTATCCATGAATGTGAGTTGATCCGTGATATCGGCGGTGAGCTGAGTATCTTCGGTGATACCGTGGTCGACCAGCTCCTGGAGGAGTCTCTCTTGCATGCCGGGATAGGTCACCAACGAATAGATCAGCCATGACAGCAGAGAGCTAGTGGTGGTGAAGCCGGCGCCCGTGGCCACGAGCAGGGCCTGCATCAGCGAAGTCTTGGGCAGCTTTTCACCCTTGTTGTCGGTCGCACGAATCGCGTAATCGATCATGTTGTCCGCTTGCAGGGCAGCTTCCTGCAGTGGAAGATCATGGACGCCGCCGCGGCTAGCATTTTGGATCGACTCGTCGATCAGCTCGAAGACCCGGCCGCGGATATCCCGCAAGCGCTTGGGGTCCCCAAAGGGGAGCTTTGAGTACCAATCACCCCGGGCACTCACCTTCTTGTTGAGCTCTAGGGACTCGGCGATCAGGAGGATCAGCTCATGGGGCGGGGCCGTGGCCGAGGAGAAGTGCTGGAAGTCGATGCCCAGGACCAGCTTGCCTACTGCCTGCGAGCCGAGCTTGAGCATGTACTGGTACACGTTCCAAGCCTCATCCGCCTCATCGAAGGCGTCGAACACCTTGAATGCGTCCTCAACGGTGCGCTGCATGGTGGGCGCGTAGTGCCGCACCGCCTTTGGTCCGAAGGCTGGCGGAAGGAACTTGTGAGCGACGTGCCACGTCGGGCTATCGGTGTCGGCGAGAAAGACACCGGCCTCGGTGTTCTTGATCGGGTGCAGAGGGTGCGCCTCGTTGATCCTTTTGGTAAAGAAGTCACTCTCCGAGAAAATGATTGCGCTCAGTGCCGGGTCATTGGTGTGGTAGGTCGTGCGGCCCATGCTGCTGGTTTGGAAAATCGGCCCATACTGCTCGAACAGACGCTGATGATTCCCAAGATGGTCGGGGTAGATCTGAAAGAAATTGCCAAAGATTGGGATACCCTGGGGTCCTGGGATTTCTCTGACCGGCTTCCCATCGATGGTGATGCTAATCTGGCCCTCAGATGAGCAAACCTCGGGGGTTCTGTGAAAAATGGCGTCCTCGGTCTGCAGTCCGATACCTGTCGCTATTCAGTTGGAATACACAGGAGGATACTGAATTTAGATAAATGTAAGGGGGGGGGATTCAATTACCATTGGGGTCAACAATGGCGAAATGCGCAGCGAGAAGATGCTGAAGTTCTTCAAAATCAAGGGCTGAGTCCACCTCAATCTCCCTGGCAGTGGCTATGGGCTCACCCAACAGGTAAAATTGTTTGGCTGGCATGATTACGTTTATGGGGTGAAGGCGCAATGGAGAGATAGATGGGCAGTCGAATTTCCTCCTTTGCGCGCCATGCCGCTTTATACGCTTTATAGCAGGATCGAGAATAGATGCGACGCAGCCTCCTCGTCTAGACAATGCGCCGGACAAACCAAAAATAATCGCGGCCATGTTGGCCAGGAAGACGAATCCACATAACGTACTCCATAGTGTATAGTTACCGGTACGTAGATATTTTCCAGTGTTCCACACACAGAGAGACAGAAGATAACGGGGGATGATAGGATCGGTGGCCTGACAGCCTGCCTCGGCAAGTTAACCCGCAACGTTGGAAGAGCTTCAAGACGGGAAGCGATCGTCATTTCGGGACCCACCATGCGTACCTACGTAGTACATGAGAACTACCATTATGCTTCGGTCTCAAGCATAACCGAACATCGGCCTCCGAGAACTTCCATAAGGCATAGAATGGCATAGGTAGCCCTACAAAATTACCCTGCTGGCTCGGCAGACCGGCCTGCTGCAACAACCTCGAAATTACAATCTCCGACGCAGGTGGGCCGACTGGATCCCTTCCCCCTACTCCCCTTCCAATTATCCCGGAGAAAAAAAAAAGAATTGGAAGGAAAAAGGGAGAGCGAAAAAAAATCAAGGGAAAAAAGAAAGGAAAAGAAAAGAAGTCGCGCAATCAGATTGGCCGCATTGTCGTTTTATGCCATGCTATGCTCCTGGGCAATCATGTTATATTGCGCAGCATTTATCCCGCAATCTTGAGGCCAGGAAAGTTTCCCTGAACCAACTTGAATCCATTCTTTGATACATTATTGACAATGGAACAATCCATAATATCAGAGTCACCGGCTCCGGTGGTAGCGGATGTCCAGCTGCCCGAATACTCCTTGGCTGAGGTTGCAACACACAACAAGAAGGATGATATCTGGATCGTCGTTCACGGACAAGGTGTGACACGTTGTGATGACCTTGGGAGAGATGTAGAGACTAACAATTCATTAGTATTCGACGTCACGAACTATCTTCAAGACCATCCGGGAGGTGCGGAGGTTCTTCTGGAGACCGCAGGTACAGATGCCACCGCCGATTTTGAGGATGTTGGCCATTCGGAGGATTCACGCGATATTCTGCAAGAGTATTTGATCGGCACCTTGAAAGACGCCAAAAAATATGTATCTCCGAAAGCTGTTCGCGTCATCCCTCAAAGATCCCAGAAGACAGCACCACCAAGTTCATCTTCAGCGCGATCAGTGGGTGCGATCGTCGGTGCATTGGGTACGGCGACAGCTCTTCTGTATTTTGTCAACCGAAGCAATCCGGGCGCCATTGATATGAGGAAGGCCTGGGGCCAAATCATCCCTTCTAAACTCAATGTGTCCAGACTCCCGGGCGGGGAATTTGCCCACGGGTTCATCATGGCAACGGCTGTCTGCGCGCTGCTGGGCAGCCTGGTCGCGCAGCAGGCCGCAAAGTTCACGAAAATCGACTCGGGCTTCCTCCGATACCCTCCTCGTATCAAGGCGCGGAAACGCCCGAGAGCTGACCCCCACTTGGCCAAGGGCTTTCTTGACGCCAAGGAATTCCAGCGCCTGCCGTTGGTGCGGAAGGATGAATTGGCATCGAATGTGTACCGCCTTGTTTTCACATTACCCGACCAGAAAGGAGTCATTGGCCTTCCAATCGGACAGCATGTCGCCATTCGAGCGGTTGTCAATGACACCACCGTCAGCCGGTCGTACACACCGGTGTCGAACAATCTGGACCTGGGCCGCCTCGAGCTGCTCGTCCGATGCTATCCCGATGGGCTTTTGAGCGGGCAATACCTTGCCAAGCTCGAGGTGGGCGACGAGGTAGAGTTTCGAGGTCCCAAGGGATCTATGCAGTATAGCAGGGGACTGTGTACTAAGATCGGAATGGTGGCTGGAGGCACGGGCATCACCCCAATGTACCAATTGATCCGTGCCATTTGTGAGGACGACCGCGACACCACGGAGATCAGCCTCATCTACGCGAACCGTACCGAGAATGACATCCTACTGCGCGAGGAGCTGGAGGACTTCGCTCGCAAGTACCCTAAGAATTTCAAGCTCTGGTATATGCTTGACACGGCGCCTGAGGTGTGGCAGTATGGCACCGGTTACGTGACCCAAGCGGTGCTCAGCGAGCGTCTACCGTCGCCATCCCCCGAAACCAAGATCTTGTTATGTGGCCCTCCGCCTATGGTCAGTGCCTGCAAGAAGACGCTGGTGGCGATGGGGTTCCAGAAACCAGGAGCGATCTCTAAAATAGGCGATCAAATCTTTTGCTTCTGAGACAGGCCCATAGTCTCACACTGACTTAGATTTGCATGTACATAGATGATAACAACAATTTAGAACTGGGCCGAGGGTGGCACCATTTTAGGATTGTACAGTCAGGTAGACCGTTTTGAGATCCCCTATAACGCCTCGAACGCCTCAAGCGGAAGTGGCCCGGGAAAGGCTTGAAGTTGGTTCTCCACTGAGGGTCAACCTGGATAATGTCGCAAACTCGCAGACTCGTAGACAGAACCAGTTACATTTGACTGGCTGGACGTTGTATTGTACGCACTGTCGTGACTCGTACTCCGACAATGCAAAGGGTGAAAAAGGAGAAGTACCCGAGGTGAGTGGAGGCAGAGGCAGGCTAAACCCTACACCAAGCTTGTTTCAGGCTCCTCCTGTCTTTGAACCTCGGCTGATCAACAAAATTTATTGTTTTTTGAAATATGTTATTGACAACTTGACAGTCAACCAATTTCTGATAGGCCGGGATGTTCCTTGCTTGCTCGCGTTCGAGGTTTCTCTTCAAGATGATTCATATTCCAGATTATTCTGATGTGGAGACGCTGTTGGAAGCCGAGGTAAAAGTTCCATCGTTCGAGACATACGTAGTCTTGTCCAGTACAGTATTAGTACAATACGGAGTACATACATGCTGTCTAGCTATACGTATAGTACAGTACATGATGTACATCTCATACCGTATTGTACACCTTGTGGTGGCTATGGTAACTTAGCGATGCCTATCTGCCAGCCCAGCACTAACAAGAAGAGTTTCCTGCGCTTTCTTCTGTGAAAAAAAAAAGAAAAAAAACAAGGAATGAAACTTGTTTGACTTGTCGGACGTCTCGGGACTAGTCACAGTACATCCATCTACATAAATAAGTGATATTGTTCTCTGCACTGTCACAACTCCGCGGTAACGTGCGCTCGCAGCGCGCATAAGCTTATGCGACTTGGCGCGAGGTTCAAAAGTCCCCTTTATGCCATGCGCTAACTAAGTGACCACTCCTCAAGAGTCTCTTAGAAGGTTAAACAAAGAGCACCACGGGGCAAATGCGTATCAGACTGCGATTGGGTCCTTCTTTTCCTCGCTCACTTGTCAGTGCGGCATGTTTTAGAGTATCGGGCGCTGATCGTGAGCTGTCGTGGATCGTAAGACGGCGCGCGGTATGTTAACTAAGGCATCATGAACGCCGCCGAAGCGTCCATCAGTCCAACTGATGTCTCCGCCACCTCGCGGCATCGAAAGCCTTCGGAGCCAAGCTCTGCTTATACGCGCAGCTGCGCTTCGTGCCGAAGACGGAAAGTTAAATGCGACAGGCAGCGACCATGCGCCAACTGTGCGCGCACAAAGCATGAGTGTCTATCCACCTGGCCGTGGGAGGGCCCCAAAGCAACAGCGCAACCGTGCATTGGAGGCCCAATTTGCGGAGCGATTGTCTCATTTGGATGCCATGATCCGACAGCTGAGGTCTCGAGAAGGCGGGAGAGCCTCGGTAGACCCTTCTTTCTCTTCGCCTCCGCCCGGAAACCCAGACGTGGAGAGCAGGGATGATCAGAGGAGACATTCCTCCGTACGGGATGCTGGAGGTGGTTTCCAACAGGACCAGGGCCAGTCAACCTGTGCAGCCTGGAGTGCCGCCAGCAGAAGGGCTCCTGGTCCAAGATGGTGCCTCTACTCGATACATAGATGAGGTGCTTTTTGCGCACGTGCTTAGAAGGCTAGTAGTACTGACTTGGTTCCACGAGTGATCCTGGAACTGACTGGCCCCCAACCGGCAGGATAACGACGTTCGATCGGCTATCAGCAGCCCTAGGAGTATCGATGCAAGTAGTCAGCAACCATCCGATACATGCGGACTCGATGGCCTAATCTCAGATCCCATGCCGGCCTCATACTGTCGAAGTCCGTCGCGCAGACAGGCAACGCAGCTGTGGCAGGTCTACCATTTCCGGACACTATCCTGCTTTTAAATCAGGACGGGCCGTTCGCGCTCAATCAATTTCAGCGAGGACTAGAAATCTCTCTTCATACGGCAGCTTTTCTGGATTCGCCCACTATTACCACTTTACATGCGATGACGACCTACCTGGTGACCTTCCCCTTAGATGCCTAACTGATTATGCCATACTGACACTGTCCAGAGATGTCGTCGAAGTCATGGTGGTGGCCGTTCGGGTTGCGCTCTCAATGGCCTCCTCCAGCGCCCAGTCGATTGGGCTTCATCGAAACCAGGAACATTTTAAGCTCACGCCGTTGGAATGTGAGCTTCGCCGACGATTGTGGTGGCAAATCTGCGCGTCCGACAATCGGGCCGCCGAAGATCATGGGCTCTCGACTGGTTGGGTGGAGAATTCATGCGATACGAAGCTACCCTTGAGTGCTGACGACAAAGATATTTGCGCGGAAACAGATGTGCCCTAATCCCTCGAGACGCATGGACCGAGATGAGTTTGTTTCTAATAACCGCAGAGCTCAACGGAGCATTCCAGCGAGCCTCTCGACTGTCCGCAGGGGTACTTAACAGCCAGAACCTCATGGACAGCTTGGAACAACTGTCGGAGCATGTAAAAGAGAAGATAGAAGCGAAATACCTGAGGTATTGCGATCCCAACATCCCGCTGCAGAAGGCTGCCATCTTGCTGGGCCGAGTTTTCCTTGGAACCTCGGTGTTTTCACCCGGTACAGTACCTGAGAAGACTGAGTGGGGAAGAATCCACTACTCGTGCGGTGGAGGAAACATTTGCACTGGCATGTGACACCTTGTCTCTGGGCATAGAGTTGAAAGAGGACGAGCTTCTGAGCAGTTACCCAGTGACATTTCACCACGTATCCCCAATATTACTTGCTTACCTACACTCTGTGGCAGCTCTACGTCCGCCCGGACGTGCCCGGGGCAGAGCGAGCCTGGGAGCTGGTGAACAAGTCACTCAGCATGACCGAACTTGGTTCCAGACCTAGTCCGGGCCAAAATGGAATGCTCCGCGCAGGCTGCGAGAGAAAGCATTGAGTATGTGCCGCGTTCGTCAAGCCGTACAGATTCCTGCAGTAGATGCAGTGAACATGGAAGCCGACAACATGCAGGCTGAGAGGCTAAGTGATGAGGGGCTCGATGAGGCATTTAGGGACGATATACTCTGGGATCTGGATTCAGTCTGCTTTCCAGATTGGTCGACCTTTCCTCTAGCATTGTGACAAGGGAATTGAATAGATCAAGTCTAAAGGTTGTATATCTCCTTCAATATACCGACTGTTTGTCTAAGTAATCTCGAAATTGAAGTGAGTTCGACCCAGCGTCATGGGCGCAAAGATGGATAGCGGCCAAGCCAAGGGCATATTACTGGTTGTTGCGCAAGCCACTGAGATGCTGCAATGTAATTATCACTGTGGTGCAGAAGTTGAGCGGTGTGTGCGAGGGGTGGATGGGGATGGTGTTCCTCGTGATTCCATCGCGGCTGCGCTTTGATATCATGGTGTAGCACGAAAAGTGTAAGGCATGCATATCCAAGGAGAAGGGAAGCGATCGTGGGAAATGGGGAAAGGGGAAACGGAGAATGTCATCATCGGGTGGGGCAAGAATCTTCATCCGGAACCAGCCGTGATACTCGAGTATTTGAGAGCCGGGCGGTAGCCGGGCTAGACCGATTCATTCTTCTATTCCCGATGTAGGGACAGTCCAAAGAGTCCAATCATTGTGTACCCTGCTGCATATGCGTGTGTGGCCACTGGTTGAGGTGAAGAAATTGGTTTGACCAGCCATATATATCTGTTTGGTGGTGTCCATGGCTGTCCGTGTATGCAGCCGAGCGACGGCTCGACCGTCCACTAGCAAATGTACGAGTAGTTTGAACGAATTGATTATGTCACTTCCCTTCTCCTTGTTGCCTCGCTTAACTAAGACGATGACGTTGGAGTGCAGATGAGAAAGTGCGTTCACCCAAGATTTCCGCCGTTTCCACTATTTCCACCATTTCCACACTTTCCAGCCCCTCGGGATGCCGATCGGATCCAGTCTTCCGCAGCCAACAACAATGGCTGAACTTCGTTTCTTTCGATGTGGGCAGTCCGTCAGGTCCCTTTAGGCCCCAGCCGCTCCACTCTCACCCCCCGGGGACGATGGGTCCGGTCGGTCCCCTCTGTTCTCTTCAGCACGGTTAACCAATCACCCACCCCTCCTCCCTCATAACCGAGCGCTCGTAGGTATTATTTTCCGCGGGTACGTCATTGGATTCATTCCGGTTTTGCGTCGCCACGGGTCGTCCTCCCTCAGCGTGGGAAAGATATTTCACTGAGCCCATCGCCGGGCTGAACTGCCTACAATCATACATCACCTTCCGTCAAGCCACTTGGAATCTCACTCAATCCCAGTATGTCGCCCACAACCAGAAAAATCGTCTGCTTTTCAGGTAAGAATCTAGGAACGCCCCTGCGGATCCTCTCCACCCTAGCGGCTAACAACTCCGCCTTTAATAGACTTCGATGGCACCATCTTCATGCAGGACACGGGTCATGTCCTGTTCGATAACCTAGGCTGCGGCGAAGAGCGCCGCCGGCTGCTCGACGAACAGATCAAGACGGGCGAGCGCTCATTTCGAGACGTCTCGGAGGAGATGTGGGGCTCACTCCGAGTCCCTTTCGAAGATGGTTTCCAGATCATGGAGAAGGAGCTAGAGATCGACCCCGGCTTCCAGGAATTCCACCAATTCTGCGTGGCCAACGACATTGATTTCAACGTTATCAGTGCGGGGCTCAAACCAATCCTCCGCAAAGTGCTGGACACTTTCCTTGGAGAGCATGAGGTATGGTATCCCCGACGGTGGTCTCTGGGTTTCTTCTATCATTAATGCATAGCTTGTCCAGGCTTCCCGTATCCAGATTGTCGCCAATGATGCGGATATCAGATCCGACGGGTCCGAATGGAAGCCCATATGGCGGCACGACACCGAGCTTGGCCATGACAAGGCGCTATCCGTCAAAGAGGGCCGCGCTCTCGCGGCGGAGAGTGCCTTGGATGGGGAAATCCCACTCATCATTTTCATCGGAGATGGTGTCTCTGACCTTCCGGCTGCGCGGGAAGCAGACGTGCTTTTTGCCCGGAGGGGTTTACGCCTGGAAGAATACTGCATCGAAAACAAGATCCCCTATATCGGTTTCGACTCGTTTGCGGATGTCAAGAGAGAGGTTGAAGCCATCATGAAGGAAGATCAGCAGAAAACTGGCGGCGTGGGCAAACCCGCCCGGTTCAACCCTCGCGCAAACATGTGGCGGCGCATCTCCAGCAAGCAAGCTGTAAGTTAGAATTATATGTTTGGCGGGCCATTTTCATGGCGCTTGTTGAGGCTAATCTACCCAGATCCCACAGTTTGTTGCGGCAACTCCCTCAAGGGAGGATAAGATGTTCCTCTGGCCCGAGAGCTTCTCGGAATATCACCCGACGAGCCAGATGAACAATGTTCCCGCATAGAGTTCTTCTTGTCTGTTGCTAAGTCACTTACCCACTTCGCAGGCGTTCGGTGTAGTGAGCTGGATACCGGATATAAAGTAGATTTAGATGATTAAACGTAATACAAATGAAAGGTTCTCGTTTCAAACACATCCGATGTATCTGTCCGTTCACTGTATCAGCCGGGTCTTTAGCCCAGGTTCTTTTTGTAGAGTGTAATTCTGAATGATGTTTCGCGGGGAGCACTGCCTCAGCCCTGTGTTGAGTCTACTCCAACTAAGCGTTGACGAACCCACCGAGCCAACCAGCTTGGTGAAATCAGTTCGACCCTCGGGGGTTTTCAGGTGAAGCTGTCATTGACTTGGTAGGGGATAGCCCATCCTTCGATCGCACTGAACGCCGACATTGGAAAAGTGTGACCAGCTCATCAGGACGGGACCCTGTTGATGGTATTTAAAAGCGAGGTAGCGGCTAAAGGAGGCTGATCAGCCATGTCTTTGAAGGGTCACTCTTCACCAAATTGTCTTCGTTCTCTGGGCAGACATATCGCGCTCGGTTCGATATCAATTCGTCACCTATCAGAGCCAGACCTGCCACCCGGTGGGAATTCACTCATAGCTCTCAGAGGCACAGTAGTGGAGGGCCTCACGGTCACGGCAGGCAGCCTACCATGACTCTGGGCCCATTCGGGAGGTTGAAGTACGCTCGGCATCCCGATCGGATCGGTCATCCTCCCATCAGTCAGGAGAGGGTCAGGAATCCCAAAGTGAATCTTCCAATGGTTCTTCGTATCCCGGTGGTGTTTCTGGGCGCAGGCCGATGCTTCGGGTGCGGTTGGAGGTGCGGTTGGAGGTTAGGCCCCTGGAGGTTAGACCAACCGGTGGGATTCAGAAGCTACTACTGTCGAAGGTGGGATGTCGGCTTATCATGATTGAACTGAAGGGGGGCCGGGGGTGATGCTAGTGAGATTTCAGTATATCCTCCAGCTCACGATCTTTAACATGCCAGCTGAAAAGAAAAATGAAGGAGGCGCGACGGATACTGAGGTCTGGAGAAGATACCGTAGAAGTGATCCTGTAAATACTTGTCTGGTGTATAGAAACAAACAAGAGTGATGGCGGCGATGATGAAAGGATGAAGGATGCCAAGAAGGAGATGATCCCATCCTGCAGTGACAGGCAACCTTAGGCACTCATGATGAGCCGGTCCAAGACATGCTAACGGGGGGCTATGCAATGTTCAAGCCAACTGATAGAAACAAGCTTACGGCGAAGCTGAAGGGTCGTGATCTTCCAAAAAAAGGAACGGATGAGAATCAAAAAAGAATCCCTCCCCGACTGGGAGTCGAACCCAGGTCTCCCGCGCTTGTTCCCATCTGGGATTGACAAGCGGAAATCATGACCGTTAGACCATCGAGGAATTGATATATTGTGAGCTCAAAAATGCGTAATATAATCTTAAAATCCACAGACCCCAGGTTCGTCCTACTCGGGCATACTGTACACAACCACCGTCAACAAGCTTACAATGCCATCCAGGAGGCTTGAGACGTTGAAACTTTTCAATATAGACGCCTTGAATGGCACTATAACTCAAGATCTGAGGTGTTCGTTGAGATTCTCAATCCCGTGTTGTCGCTTCGCCTTGGGTAAACGAAGGGTGCAATTGGCGCTGGGGAATATAAACTTCATCCCGTAGTGCAATTATGTCATCCCCTCCCCCGCTGTGGTGAGAGAACGCAGAGTAAAATCCACATTCACTGCCGGGGGCATCTGAACCTTCGACAGACGCACCGCATCCATGGTTCACCGACCAACGTAGCCCTAATTCTGATTTCCCAAGCTTAAACTGCATGGTGAGCGTCAACGAGCGTCAGGAAGGGGGCCAGGGAAGGGGGATACACAACCCATGATTGTAGAGGCCGACAAGTACATCAACAACCTACCGTCCTCAGGCCTGAAGGGAGAAATCCAGACTCGAAGCAACATCATTCGTGCACATAAACCACAGACCACCTCAGAAGTAGTGCTAGGGCATGATTCCGCCTGCTAGCAGGACCGCTCACACGCGTCGTCACTTCACACTACAGCCACAGTCGAACTCACAACACAGGACTCATGACACCTAGCTGTCATATTACAGCCCGTAGAGAGGGAAAACCTGGGATAATCCCAGACCACCCACAGACCCAATGCCAAAAAGCAACCAACTTTCTGAACATGTAGTTGCTTGCTTGCTCATAGTGTTCTGTCATTTTAGCTCGCATGGAGCAGTAGACATGATACCATTGAGATGAGAGCCGTCAATAGTCCTCATAAAGACCCAGAATTACTCCCCCGCAGAAGATACCTTAAAAGGCTCCTCCTCCCGTTTGCAGTACAGGGCCCATATCCACCCGCAGATTACATGCCGAGCCTGTAATGTTTGAAAAGTCCTCTGACCAGCACCCACTTTCACGCGAAGAAGGATCCGAGAGTGACTGAGCCAGGTATGGACTGCTCCCCTTGTACCGGCAAGCGAGGGGGGCGGTTCAGGCTGTACCTTGCAGGTTGTTCGCAGAAAACGGTCCTGTAATTACACAAAAATAGCTCAAAATGGTAATCTCCCCTGTCGATGTCGTGCCGGGTAGTGGTCAGGGGCCAACGGCACGCCCATATATCGCAAGTGACCCCATGCGGTAGATTGCATTCAACCTAAAGTGGCATCATGGTTAGGATCAAGAAAAGTTCGGGCACGAGTGTATGTCAAGCGATTTTCTGGGGCAGGCGACCCTTGTGTGCTGTCTTGATTATAGGTTATGGAAAGTTGAGTATGTTACCTGCCGTGTATCTCGAAGTCGAGGGTGCAAAACTGGATTACCCCGCATATTGAAGGATTGAGAAATGGTTCAGGGACAGAGATTGAAAGTATCGGGGGTTCCGCCGGGGTTTTACCTTGCTCGGTAATTGAGAACAGAAGCTGAGGGAAGGGGAAAAGAGGGGAAAACAGGCACGGTCAACGTCATGCTACCTTAGTTCCAGTTTCGGTATTCAAGGCCAAGAAGTATGTATCATTTACTGCCCCTCGAAACCGTGTTCGTGCTCGGAGTAGCTGTCTGGCCGAATTCTGGTCAGTCAGTCGGCTTCTACTGAATCCTTCTCTCTTTGCTGAGGGTATTCCCGTAGCCACAAAGCTTGTCGTCCTACTATACGACTGAGAATCCCGAACAGTTCACAGGAAGCAGGAAAGACAATGTTCCCAAGCCCAGAATAATGCATCCCAGTATGTGGTCCTTATGGGAGTGGAAGCATGCATGTGTACAATTCAAGAAAGGCATCGATCGACGTATCGCACGGTTGGCCAAGACGTTCACTCTAAGGCTACCTGTGAAATATGACTGCTAGTTGTCGGGCTTATGTCGGAAGAAACCCGATCTCAATCATCAGCTCGCTTCTTCATATTGTCAGCCTTCGACCTGCTGCTTGTCTTGCTTCCCAGACCCAGCATCTCCACATTGGTCTCCCCACCCCTCATTCTCTGCTTGCCCTCATCTTTCCTTCTCCTTTGAGAGTAGATTTCTTGGCCATATTACAGCCCGAGGACATATAAAGACATCACGCTAGTCCCGTCGAACAACGGCATCAGAACCATCTTTCGTAGGCTGCAAGGTGGTGGTAGTTTCGGGCCTTCGAGGCATCACCGCCCTTCCTCTATTTCTTTCCTTGGTTCAGCAAGCATGCAGTCTTTCTTTGGTCGTGAACAAAGCGGGAGGTAATGCTTCTAGCCCACTCCTGTACGGCTTCATGTTCGAGGTATGATCAAATCGCGCTGCGTGGCTATGGAACGACATCTGAAAAGCTAGTTTCAGGACATCAATCACTCCGGAGATGGAGGTATTCATGGCCAGATGTTGCAGAACCCTGGCCCCCAAGGGTCATCGCCGAGCACCAGTGCATGGACTGCTGTCGGCAAAGGCACGATTTCTGTCAACAGTGAGAACCCACTGAGTTCGGCAATCCCTCACTCGTTCAGGCTGGATGTCGCGTCGGATGCCACCGGGGCTGTCGGCTTTACCAACGACGGATACTGGGGCATTCCTGCCCGATGGAAACGAGTTCGAGAGCTCTTTCTGGGTAAAGGGTGACTACTCAGGCAAGTTCACAGTTTGCCTTGTTGGAAACAGCACCGGCACAGTATATGGCTCCAAGACTTTCACTAACAAGCCCAACTCGAAGACCTTCACGCAAGCATCTGTGAAGTTCCCAAGCAAAAAGGCTCCAGACGGTCATGTTGTGTACGAGCTCACCGTGGATGGCAAGGCTGCTGCGGGCTCCTCTTTGTATTTCGGTTATATAACTCTTTTTGGGAAAACATATAAGTCAAGGTTCGTAGAGTGCCCCTTTAGTACGTGATCGATTGACTCATTCTTCTCGTCATAATAGGGAGAATGGATTACGCCCCCAGATTGCCAATTATCTGGCGGATGTCAAGAGTTCCTTCCTGAGATTTCCCGGAGGAAACAATCTAGAAGGAAACAGTGTGGATAATAGATGGAAGTGGAATGAAACGATAGGTCCATTGGAAGACCGTCCAGGACGCGAAGGTTTGTGCATCGTCACTCAGATGTTGACGTGCGCCACAATCTAACATGTACCAGGTACTTGGGATTATGGAATACCGACGCCTTAGGGCTAGCAGAATACTTCTACTGGTGTGAAGACCTGGGCCTCACGCCAGTTCTAGGCGTGTGGGCTGGATTCGCTCTGGACTCAGGTGGTGGCACCCCTTTGACGGGCGACGCTTTGACTCCCTATGTAGACGATGTTCTTAATGAACTTGAGGCATGCGAGCCCCACAAATCCCAATGGTCGCGACCCCTGAATTTGGATATTGACTGGCCATAGTATATCCTAGGTGATAAGAGCACCGCTTATGGCGCCCTCCGTGCTTCCCACGGACAAGATGAACCATGGAGCCTCACAATGGTCGAGATCGGCAATGAAGACAATTTGGGTGGAGGATGTGCCTCATATCCAGAGCGCTTCACAGCATTCTATGACGCTATCCATGCCAAATACCCGGACCTGACGCTCATCTCCAGCACGGCCGACTCGGGCTGCTTGCCGGATGAAATGCCTGGGGGCACCTGGGTGGATCACCACAATTATAACACCCCTGACAACCTTGTAGCCCAGTTCAGTCAGTTCGACAACATCAACCGTACTGTGGGCTGCTTTATTGGCGAATACTCGCGTTGGGAAATCACATGGCCCAACATGAAAAGCTCAGCTGCAGAGGCCGTCTACATGATCGGCTTCGAGAGAAACAGTGATCTGGTCAAGATGGCAGCATATGCTCCAGTGTTACAGCTGGTAAATTCCACCCAGTGGACGGTGAGTGATCCTAGCAGTAGCAAGAGACCTTGGTGCTAATTTCGCCTAGCCGGATCTCATTCCGTTCACCCAGGACCCTGACATGGCCTGGGGAAGTACGAGTTATTATGTTCAGAAGCTGTTCTCCGAGAACCGCGGAAGCACCATCAAGGAGGTGACCTCTGATTCTGGCTTCGGTCCTGTGTACTGGGTGGCTTCGAACTCGGACGATACATACTATGTCAAGCTGGCCAACTATGGCGAGAAGTCCGAGAGCGTGAGCGTAACGGTACCGGGGGCGAAGGCTGGATCACTTAGTCTTGTCTCAGACAGTGATCCCGATGCCGCGAACACCGATCTAGAGCAAAATTTGGTGGTTCCCTCCGTAAATAAAGTGAAGTCCAGCAATGGCACCTTCACATTCACGATGCCCGCATGGGGTGTGGGCGTCCTTGCCGTCCATTGATATCTTGGTCCTTTCTTTTGAAGAAGCGGGCTTTCTAACCTCTTATTTCGTGACGCACTACAATTGAAGAGCCCGTCGAGATGCGATCTGGTTAGAATGTTAGGTTGGAATGAGTGAAACAAATATGACATTTTATGCACGAAGGTTCAATCAACGATCAAGTTCAAAGTTGAAAGCAAGCTTGGAAAGCATGACCAACAGCAATCAGGCCACTGGCCAGACTGAGGAGTAAAGAGGGGCAGTTGCCACTTCGCGCGGGTCCGACTCCAGTTGCCGTCCAGTCTGGGCTCGTGGCAACCCCACCCTCTCAATAGGCGGGCACGTACGTACCGTAGGTAGATACGTAGTAGTACGGCCCTTGCTAGCCAAACCAAGAATGAAAGTCCATATGAAGATTTGACATGACATGATATACCTGTTGTCGAAGTAAAATGTGAGCATAAAGGAGGACTAACTCGACTATCTGGTATGCCAAAGAACGTTTCATAGAGTACAATACCTATCGGCTAATAGATCGTTTTGCACCAAATTCCTATGATGGAATGGAAGTACTCAGAGTCTCCGGGTCAGACTAAGTACCCGCTAAGGAAACTGGGTACCACTAGACATCACACTAAGCTATAGTAGGCTAGTAAGGCTGTTATCGCTGGCTATTTTCCAACACCATTGGTGCGGGCTTGCCCCTCCGCATCGATTAGATAAGATTTTTCTTCCTGTAACTAGCAGTCAGTCCCTGTCTACTTTTCGTTTTTTTTTTTTTTTTTTTTTTTAACGAGGCCAGAGCCTAGAGCCCAGAATTCACGCTGCTATAAAACCCACCAGGCGCCGGCGCTACTCTGGTTTTCTTCTTTCCTTTTCTTCTTTGCGCCCTTTGATACAAGCAGTGAGCGACTTCGGAGCTTTGCGCTCACTTTTGCTGGCGAAAAGCTCTTGCTCTTTTTTTTACTAGTTACGAGTATTTTCGGGTTCCGTTTTCGTCACAATTTCATAATCCCGTTATCTTAGCCCTTCCATTTCGCCATGTCGACCTACTTTGAAAGTGAAAAGACCTCGGCAGTCACCGAGGTCCAGCCTCAGCCACCAACAGAGAAAAATGAGCAGCTTCACTCGGTGACTGAGTCGCCAGCGACGGGTTCTCAGGACCAACCCGGGGAACAGCAGCAGGAGTCGCAGGAGGGACGGTTTCGACAACTTTTCCGTTATATGCGCACTCGCGATTTTTGGCTGCTCATTCTGTTAGGGTGAGACCAATCTGATAAAAGTTAGACCAGACCCTGTCACTAACTCAAGTCACCTGTTCAGACAAGTTATCGCTCTCGCAAACATCAGCTCCTCCACATTTTCCACTCTTCTGTCCAATGAAGGAACCAGTATCCCCGCTTTCCAGACGCTGTGGAACTATGTGCTCTTGAACCTGGTGTACACGAGTATCACTATCTACAAGTACGGCTTCAAAAAGTGGTTTCGCATGCTTTACACCGACTGCTGGAAGTACTTCATTCTCTCTTTTCTCGACGTGGAGGGAAACTACTTCATGGTGCTGGCCTATCGCTACACCTCGCTTCTGAGTGCCGAGCTGTTCAGTTTCTGGACAATCATCGTGATCGTGATAATCTCCTTTATCTTCCTGCGAGTTCGCTACCACGTCACGCAGTACCTAGGGATTTTCCTCGCCTGCGGTGGTCTCGGTCTTCTCATCGCGTCGGATTATCTTCGTGGAGCTAACTATGCCGCCTCGAACAAAGTCAAAGGAGATCTATTCGCTCTGCTTGCGTCTACCATCTACGCCTTCAGCAATCTGTTCGAGGAGTTCATGGTTTCGAAGCGTCCCATGTACGAAGTCATTGGCCAAATGGGCTTCTGGGGTATGTGGATCAACGGTGTCCAGTGCGCTATCTTTGATCGAAGTTCTTTCCATGGTGCCACCTGGAATGGCAAGGTCGGAGGCTATATCGCCGGATATACCATTGTCCTTTTCATTTTCTACACCCTGGCACCCATCATGTTCCGGCTTTCTTCAGCCACATTTTTCAACATTTCCATGTTGACCATGAATTTCTGGGGCTTGATCATCGGTATCCAAGTCTTTCACTATTCCGTTCACTTTCTCTATCCGATCGCTTTCGTTCTCATTGTGGTCGGTCTCTTTGTCTACTTCATCAAGGAGAGTAAAATGGGTGAAGCAGCAAAGCCATGGCTCGGTGAGAACCAGGAGCTTGGTGTTGATGGCGTGGGTACCGCTCGTCGTGCGCAGAACACTGGACATGCTCTCGTCTAGGCCGATCCTAGCGGGGGGGAGGGGGGGTATGTGGTGAGACGTTGAATGTTGATGGAAGTAATGTGCTGTGATAAAAGTTCCTCTTGTTTTCGCTTTTCTTTTTTCGCATTACCCTATATATGTACTAGAACCAGTTAATATGCATAATTAATGCTAGTGGAATAATGACGACATGAGTCAATTGTATGAATATGGTTCTCTCTTCCTTTCATAGGCACTTTTACTTCGGTGTATCCGCTATTATTTTGATTGGTATTGAGAATTCCTGTTACCCGAACATTACAAGCTCTGATCTGGCGCAGCTACTTGCTCAGAGAGGCAGATATGTCCAATTGAGCCTCTTGGGAAAGTCTTCTTTTCAAGCTCGACAACGAGTTCAGAGGGATGGATTCAGTATAGCCCTTTTGCAGACCAGCTTTCACCGGCATTACTAATATTGCGTCAACTAATCATGTACAGACTCCACCACCATCACCCTTGTAAAAACTGACGCCGACTCGTGATCACATGCTTGATGCATGGAATCCACGGATAGGACAGCCGAGAAACGAAGGATAAACATCGACCGGGTTTAGCTCGACTACCGCCACTGCGGGTTTGCTACCACATGTTAGACTAACCACTGTGACTGACATGCAAGCTAGTCCGAAAATCGAGGAAGTACTATGTAAGCTACCTCGAGCTGAGCGCCGTTCTTTCTGAGCATCGCAAGAACAAAAAACCCGATAAATCCTGACAGGATACGGATAGTAGGCTCGAAATGCTTGGCCGAGGACGCAGGACCGATGTCACCTCCAGCTGCTCCTGCTTACTCAATAGCTTAGAAAGAATGCAGGGATCTGTTTTTCCCCCCTCCTCGCGATAACCTTCAACTATACCTGCCGCTGCCGCGAATTGCCTCAAGCCATGTCTGCCTGTGCCTCGTGCAGAAGACTACTCAGGACGAACTGCAATAATCAGAACAAAGACAAGGAACTGCCCCAGCACTTAAGTGGAGACAAGTCGATCCACCTTGAACCTGTCAAACAAAGAATACATAAGTCGGATCCAGCGGCTTGTCATTATCGTTTTGTTCGGACATACCTATTGTTGTATCACTTACCTTGGCTTTGTTGCTTCGAGATGCTCGCGAGCAAATCGGAATGTAGGTTCCGGGGGACGGTGGCGCACTGGGACATCGTTTAAAAAAGCAGCGTGTTTCAGTCTTGGTCCCATTGGGGCCACGGTAGCCTTAGCTGACAAGTCTACTGAGTCCGCAGTTATAGGGCTATTGGAAGATATGAAGAGGGAAAGGCAGGGAGAGACTGAGATAATGAAAGAAAAAAAATTTAGCAAAGCAGGGATGCTCGTACTGCACATCAAATGTCTTGTGAACGTTACTGGCAGAAAAAAAACCTCTTACCCATTATGTCAGGTAGCCCCGAGCTCTGCTTTACTACAAATAGGTACTTTTGTTGGCGGAGAAGTCAGATTCGACCAACTCCGGGAACTGCCACTTCCGTTCCCCAGTGGCTGAAGGTGGGAACAACATGACGATGATAATAATTACCATGTAAATGGGTGGAATAGAAAGCGGAAGACTGGTATGCATATTCACACAGAACACATCAGTCAATCCCACATATCGAAGATGAAAGGTTATACTCGACTACCTCTGAATCTCCTGGAAATCAGCAAATCCCTTGACTGGTTGTACCTGATCCGACCCGGGCCTACGATCGTCTGATCCGAAATGGAAGACAAGGTCAACAACTGGAACTTGGAACGGTGGGGCCTATTGGCGAAACAACGATTCTTTGTTAACCAGCCCCAGTGCCCCACCCAACCTTGATGATGGGTACTGTACGGAGTACCCTGTCAACCAAGAATCGGTGTCATATCATATTTCACCCTCTACCCCCCGTCCGACCTACCTTACATGATGATTTTCACGATGGCACTCGGTTACTATGCATAGCTTCTGGTGGCGGTGCGAATTGTACAAGTACAGTACTCTGCTTAGTAGATCGGACGACCAGCACCCCCGACGTCATCGTACAGACTGTTTTCCAGTCAGCTGAGGTCTCGGTGCCTTGTCCGGTTCGAATCCAAATTGCCTTCGATGTGGGTGATGTCAGATAAAGTACCTGACCATGTTTTTCTCCTCCTTCCCCACCTATCTACAGAGCGACCGTTGAATTGATGGACATATATGGTTTTGAAGATAGGTCTAAGTTCAAAGTTCAAAGAAAAGATTCTGCACCTCAAATGTGATACATCATAAATCAACCAGAGATTCTAAGATCTGACCCCCAAAACAAAAAGAAGGGAATTGGTATATCCGGAGTAACAAACGCTAAATCTAACAGAAGAGGCTCAATAAAACACGTATAGTCAGAAAGTTTCCAAGAAGAAAAGAAAGAAAGCACGTCGAGGGCGAATTGACCGAGAAGCTAGCAGACCGCTAGCAGACACCGCTAGCAAACCGCTGGCGAGCCACATAGTCAAGGTGGTGCTATTTGGAGGGAGCAGAGTGTGCTCGACTCGTCGCGCGTGCGTTTCTTTCTTCCTCTGACGAAAGACGTCAAGTCATTATCGGCGACGAATTACACGTTGGAGCTGCGTCTGCATACCTTGAGCCTGCTTGATCTGGCGGATGGTGTCATTGTGAATCTTGGCCCATTGCGCCTGGTAGTCGGCTAGAGTGGGCGTGGGCGATTTGTCCAGCTTATTACTGCCGGATCCCGACTTGGTTGCAGCGATGTTGCGGTCCATTGTGAAGCCTTGTATGTGATATAGATGTCGTCGAAGACAGAGAGAACCGAGAGTGGACGTAGGCCTGAGATAAGCTTTGGGGAAGGAGAGACTCGGCAGAAAGTGTTGCAGTTGAGGCAATTGATTAAAAGGATGCGCGAGCGCTGGGGACTATATTTCCGGGACGGTCTTGAGGATCTAGGATACTTATATCCCTTTTCTGCTCCCGAAACCTCGTCCTTGCTTAACTTGTTTAACCATCAGTTTCACCCACTCTTCTGCGGGCCAGTCGACCAGGTTGGGAATTAAAACCGTGCCATGTGGCCGCCTAGCGATGAGGCACCCGCCCTATGGATCCGGCTTTGTTCGTTTGCTTCCCTCGCATTCCCTGTCAGAGTGGGTGTCAAAAAAGTTCCCTGAAGGGGGGGGGGCTGAAGCTGGCTAGTGGTAGGTGGCCTAGCAGATGAGAACCTGATTCAATGATCGGCTGCAGCTCCCATGAAGACTTTAAGAGGGATTTAATGAAGCAATTATTTTTTCTCTTCTTTCATGCAACTGTAGTTCATTCTTGACCGCCGATAGGGAGGAAGAAGCAAGATGAGGATATTGAATCTCAGAAATTGTGGACACGAATTAGTACTAGGAGTCATCGCTTCCTTCGACTCTTGTTCCCTTTTTCCTTCTCGTTTCTTTTGGCTTTATTTCTTCTTTCATGTATTATTCATTTTTTTTCTACTTCTCTTTCTCTTTTCATTCTATCAGGATCTACCCTCGGTCGGCCCTTGCCATCTAGACCAGGCGAGGCCCCGATTGGCCGGGGAAAAACCCAGCCGCGGCCGTGGCATCGATCCCATTGGTTTTTCATTCAGATCAGGGAACAAGGAGTCGAGGGCGGAACGGAACACGTAGTGATGTTGGACTGTTCGCAGGGTTTTGTGTGACGCTCTGTCGGGATCAACGGTTCTGGGCTGATTGGCCTCTTACTCTCCGATCCGCTCATGCGGATGGCGTTCCGCGTCTCGATAGTCTCCTGGATCCCCGGTATTTGGGCACCGATGAGCCGGTTAGGCTATGTGGGCACCGCGAAGTCAAAACAGGAAACTTTGGGCGCGATTGGCGGGACTAAGCTAAGAATCATTCATCGTCCAGGATTCCAGAAGCTTGGATGATGTTCCAGTTAACAAGAAATGACACCCAAACCAAAACAACAAACCTCTTCTTGCATGGAGGGTGTTACTTCCTTGATTGGGACATGCAGCCACGGTAACTGTCGCTTCACTTGACTGCTGGTGCCCATTCTCATCGGTCAAATCTGAGGCACTTTTCTTGTTCTGGGGAAGTTCGATTCCAACAAGTACAATTGATAGAGTACATACAGTACACCACACCAGACAGACACCAAGCAAGAGGGCTGTCTCCTCACCTAAAAAAAAAACAACCCCCCGCCAAATTGACTCCGATTTCCGAAAGGATTGATCACAACCAAGTCCTGCTCATACTTCTTCGGCTCTCCCCTTTCATGCCGGAACCCACTGCGAACAGGTTAATGAACTCCACCGACCCATATCGGGATGCAGGTTGAAGCAATATATCGTCCCCTAAGATGGTACCGTACTTTTCTCGATCGTACTATCTACACGACGGCCACCACGGATCTGGACCCGATCGGCTGGTCCACTATAGTCTGACCCATTCCGGGCCAAGTGAAATGGCTCCAGACGATCAGTGTTAGTCCAATCGGGGAACTTGCAGAGCCCCAGGGAGATCCACCGGCAATGGAAGCCCGAAGAAGCCTTCGGTTGATTCTTGTCTATTTTCACCGCCACTTCTGATAGATCCAGTTCCAGCCTCAAAGAACAATGAACAGGCCAGTCTTGGCTGGGACAGACCGGCAGAGGATATTAGAGACCGCCAGAACACGGCTTACCACTCGGGCGAGACGTCGTGAAACAAACGTGTTGTTGTCGGGCCCACAAAATCTACATCGACGCAAAAATGCAAAAAAAGGTCACCATATCCACCGACTAGGCATATCCTTCGATGCAGCCAAATATGAAGCCTGATAGAAAGGACACATCGTACTGAGCAGGGATTACTGATTGGCGGGCCATGCGCCATGCCCGATCATGTTGGTTTGCCTACCGACTTTCCTAGTTGCGCCGTTGGTCCAGGATGCTTGAGTCCCAGACATATTGCCAAGTATATTATGCTGCTGTGTCACAGCATCATCATCATACAAATGCAAACCTCATTAAAAGACTTGTGCGCTGATCACTGTCTTAGTCGTCTGCCTTTGCTAATTTTAGGTTCTGTCAAAATCGACGGACTCCATGTCTCGGCCTTATCCCTCTGCTTCATATTCTTGCTCATGTGACTACGGCCGAGTATTTTGTTTTCTTTCTTTGTTCGCGGGACTGACCCTGTACGACACCAGTTCGCCCCGGTTGAATTTTGCCTGTCTAGACCCTGGTCCTTGTTAAACCTGCAGCCGTCCCGGGCTGGGCCGCAGTTATGAGCCAAGTTTTCGACTCTCGGGCGAGGCTTCTTGATGAGCGACAAACTCAGAACAATAAGCATCTCCTTGCAATCATACCACCTCCGTCAGACATAGAACGAGTTTGAGCAGGCTATTTCGGACTTGATTCATAACGAGACATCTATTCGCTCGTTCTAGAGGCTTCAAGGTGGAGGGGTATGCTGAGGCAAAGACTATCTCTGAATGAGACGCGCGTCAGCCATGATGAGCATGGCTGCATGACTGTATGGAATCCCAGTATTTGGTCAGCTGGTGGCGTCGCTCTTGACTGGGATCCGACAATTGAACAAAGCATGCCACTTGGCAGACCATTCTTGTACTTTCCCGCACACAGAAGGGATACTTGATCCCGGATTGAGCTGACTTGTCGCTCTGCAATTTTAGCCTATGTTTATACTGATTCTACAGAGGACTGACAGAATACCTATTTTTGTTTGCCTGGCTGGGACTGATCTCTTTGCAAGCCAGGGTACCTGGTCGCCGCTTGTTGCCGCTTGTTGCCGCCAAGTGCTGCTTATAATGCCGCAGAGGATGTGTACTTAGAAGTGGAGATTAATGTCGATTCAAAGCTTGCATAATACGAAACGTGATGCGAGTCGCCCTGTTCTAGATTTACGCCCATGCTTTCCCAAAGATACATGATGACTCCTCGATAAGCGCCGTCGAAAACGTGCACTATCTCAGTCCTACCTTCGTCCCATTTTTGGAACAGCATGTCAATGTCAAATTTTCCTCCCAAGGGCCTGGATCGCGGCTCTCCAATATCGAGAACTTTTGTGCCAAACGCGCCGTCACATAACCTGCCTCTGTCAGTGCATACTGCTGACCGACGCAAATCCGTGGTCCTCCGTTGAATGGGAGATATTCCCAGCTTGGACGTAGGTCAGCCCACCGCTCGGGTCGAAACTCGTGCACATCCGAACCGAAGAAGTCTTTGCGCCGATGCATCGCGAAGACAGAATACGAGACAACGCTGCCCTTCGGCACGAAGATGCGGGACTTGCCATCCGGGCCACCACCAGTAGGAAGGATGGTGTCGGTTTGGGCAAAACGAGCGTTAGCAGGAACCACGGGGTGAAGACGAAGCGCTAAAGGAGTCAGTCAGTGCAAGGGACCCTAAAAAGCGAGCGAGTGAACTTCGACATACATTCGTTCAGGCAGTACTTTAGGTACGTCAGGTTGCGCAGCTGCTCATATGTAGGCGTACGCCCTTCCAGTGTTGCGACTTCCTCGCGCAATTTGTGCCAGACTTCGGGGTGTTTTGCAAGCATGAAGAACAAGTTGCTCAGCAAGGATGCGGTGGTATCTCGTCCAGCCAGGAGGACGTTGATCAGCTCGCTACGAATACGTGTCCGATCACCAGTCTGCTGCGCCAGGCTATCAAGGAACAAGTATCTGTGCTTTTCCTGTGTGTCTTTCTCTTGACTGTACCGCTCACGCGTCCGCAGAGCCTTGTCGACAAACTGCTCGACTAGATCATGGCATATGCGATCGCATTGATCGGCTTTGGGGTCGCGATAAAGGTATCTTAGCTTGCCCAAGCGTGCTCTTGTGGCAATAGCATACTGAGAATAATTGAATGCCTCCGCGAAATCCTTCTCTTCCTCTATGCTCTGAGGGAGACCCGCCCTTCGCTTCTTCAAACTGTTCACGCTGTGCCCAAACAGGAAATCGGTGGCAGAGTCGATGGTGAACCCGAAGAACAGATCTTGAAGATCGACGGTGATTCCATCGGGTGGTATGAGGGCCAGCAAATCATTCATAAGCTCCTCGAAAATGTCAAGATGGGCGACCTGCTCCTTGGCGAAATTGGGGCGGACCATAGCCCGCGATTGGGCCCAGTGCTCGCCATCTGTTGTGAAGATACCATGTCCGAGGAGCGGTCCGAAGGAGTGGATACGATCCCCCAGACCATAGTCCTTGAATCGCAGAGAGAGAATGGTTTTCACATTCTCGGGATCGCGCGTTGCGATCACAGTTGTGCCCAGCCGACGAGCTTGGAATGTGTTGCCGTACCTCTCAAAGCGGTCGACACTTCTCTCGAGAAAGTTGTGTTCTTTGGCCTCCTTCATTCGCTGATAAATGCCATCGAGGCCGAAAACCGGGTCCCATTCACGGAGGGTCGAGGGTGGTTGGCATTGGTTTGCTCTGGCCATGCGATATTGCTTCCATCGACGATTCAGATAAGTGAGGATTGAGCCGAGGACAACAACAGCGGCAGCGATTACCGCAACGGGATGGTGGGGTGTGTAGAGATTCATGGTTACAATTCGTGCCAGTCCTCGCATTACTGGCGTTGATGATAAGTGATGGACCGGCTAGCAAAAAGGAAGGGGAGGGGGGAAGTTGCCGATGAAGTGGCTTTTATCCAAGAAAGGCAAACGGCTTGTGATGTTATGCCCGCCTATGTTTTAGCCGGGGTTCGGACAGGCGTAAATCAAAGACCGAGAATGTAAGTGTGCTGATGATTTGGTTTGACCTGTGAAGTTTGAGTGGGAGCGGAGATTCTTGCGAGTGGAGCCGGAACTGTAGGCAGAGCATTACCTTTTCTTAATTTGACATATGTATCGTCTCTTCTTGGGGCACGAGGGAGGACATCGACAAAGCCACCTTTCAATGACGACTGCGTCAATCTATAGCTGACTACCTGTTACCTGATAAGAGACTCCGAGATATCGTACCATGTTTGCCCGCACGGTGAAGAGAGATTACGATTACGGGGCTTGGGATGAAGTCATTTGGTACAGTAGTTCATACAAAATCAAAGAACTCTCTTTCTGCCAGCCCAGCCGCAAGCGGTTTGGCTTGCTGTTTCCCCGCAAATTTCCATGGAATAAACCAAGGTTCTTGACATGAGCCGAGGTAGATACAGCCTCAGCCTCTGCTTCCTTTGGGTTGTCTTCTCTCTCTCCAGCTGACATGATGGTCGTCATGGAGAGAGGGGGGTAAAAGCAAAAGAACAAAAAAAAGGGAAGAAAAAAAAGTAAAAAAAAAAAAAAAAAGCACAATAATTCAGATCAGTACGGAGTAGGTAGTAAGTATCCTTGCTGCCTACAATCCGAAATGCACCCAGTGTAGTTAATACTGACTGACTGACTAACTGGCTCGCTGGTACGACACTACTCACTCGAAGCCTTAACTCCGTGTATCCCTTGAGCCTAAACTCCGACACGGTCCTTCGGCATTCGGATTGCCCGAATGCCTTTCCAGCCAGTCGGTTTACAGACGAGGGGAGGGAACGCCGGACCTTTTATCAACTTTGGGGATTAAAAATAACGAAAAACAAAGAAAAAGAAGAAGAAGACAACTGGTACCTACGAAGTAGAAACGCAGAGGTGTAGTTAGTGGGGTGACCTCAAAGTACAGTACAGTACAGAACAGTACAGTTACTTGCTTGAGTCAAAGCTCTCACAAGTGGGCAGACGAGGTCGGAATAAGCACAAGCCCCCTTTGGCTGCTGCTGCACGGCTTTGCTCCTGATCCGGGTAAATCCTTCGCATCTCACCCGCAGCTTTAGCTAGCTCCTTCAGGACTCGCTACAGCGTTTTATCGGTCAATTGGAGACGGATAGTGGGGGGGGGACCCCGTACGTGGAGATGGATGTTTAGCTATGGATTTCACTTTGCTTTGACAATGAGTTTAGGTAGTTACATCTGGACCCACGCGAGGAACAACTGCTGTTGCCCGTGCGTTCTTTGATGTTGGTAGGCGCGGATACCGCAGCTGTTGTGTGTGTGAGAGGCGCGGTTGATGTAGAGTAACTACAGCCCAGTAGGGCATGCCGCACACTCGCGGGATCTTTGCCACTTCCCAGGTGGTGGCTAACAAACAGGAAAGGGCTTGGTGATGATCTTGAGGCTACAAGCGTAGCGTTCGCAACATATAGTATTATACGGACGTACTCCGCTTGCTGTGAAGCTTGGAAAGGACGCTGGACTCCATCCGCCCGAGACTTTTGTTGTTGGGTGGCCTGGGCCACGGGCTGCCACGCTACTCCATCCGTATCGGACCCAAAAGTCGCATGAAGACCATTTGCCTAAGGGTCGGTCGATGAATATATATTTCCAGATGGAGGTGGGGTATCTCGGAAGCGGTGGCTTGAAAAGCTTCTTTCAATCCTAGTGATAATCTTTTGCATATCTTTACCCTGGGAAACAGGCTGGACCTGGCTGATATGGGACCCCGAAGGCGCCATGCCCAGTCAAGGATCCAGTTCCGATATTCCATTCAGAGTCAGTAGGTGCATCAGTGCTATCTCCAAAGACTCCGCATAAGGAAGAGCATCTTGTCCAAGTGATCAGGAGGAAAAAACCGACGCATAACCAACCGCCCGGTCACCGCTGGATAGCAGGGCCCAAAGATCCAGGAAGCGGTATCACCACTACGTCAATGCAATCACCAAGAAAGGCCTATCCGGAACCCAACTACGATGTCATGATCATGATCATCATGATCATGATCATCATCATCATCATCATCTCGTATTCAAAGAGAGAACAGCTTGCTTGTTAAGATGTGATGTACAGTTGCATGAGGCGTTTTGCTAGTCCAGTTGCTTGCCCTACTTTTTTTCACCTGGAGGGGTGTAAACCGCGCCACCTTTACCGTCGTGGTAGTAGGTGCTACCATCCGAGTTGGAGTAGTAGTACGAGCCATCGTTAAGCCCGGTTGTCAGGTCTATGCATGAAGGTGAATATGAGGAAGGGAGAACAACGGGTTCTTACTGGTTGCTGTAGTGGTAGGCATCGCCGCGGCCGTAGCCGTTGGAGTCGGAGCCAGTGCCGTAGTCGCGGGAGCACCAGTGGTTGCCCTGGGACTTGTTATTCAGTGCTTCGAGATACCTTAAAGATTGCCGATGGTACTCTCTGTCGTGAGGACGTGTAGGAGGGGGTAGTGCTTACCTGGCTGTTGGTGCCGGACCCGGTGTAGGTGAAGCCTTTTCCAGAATCTCCGGGGCTGGACATGGTGGATGTAGTTCGTTTGCTTCGGTATGTATTTGAATGGCGAGTAGAGGCTAGGAGAAAATCGGACGACTGCATGTACAACAATGGCAAAGAGGGCTACAACGAAGGAATTGATGGAGATGGAAGGGATTCCCAGAGGATAAAGAGAAAGAAAGAGAGAGAGAGAGAGTGTGTGTGTGTGTGTGTGTATGTGTTGACGGCAGAATGACCAGATATGACGGAAGACTATTAACTGATTCCACTTTTTAGAGGAAACCACCCGTGATAATGAACGGATCCATGTTCCTTTCGCTTACTTCTTTTTCTTTTTCTTCTGTTCCAACTCATATACAGGTCTAGAAATTAACCTGGTCTCTTTCCAGTACTGTACATCAACAGACTGATACCTTCACCTTCTACCCCACTGCCCTTCTACCCTGCATGTTAAATGCTAGCTAACAATTAGCAAATTAGCCGTTTGTCGATCCTGCTTTTTTCTCATTCCTCATTCAACTGCCTTAACAGGACTCCGATTCTAGAACTTGCAGAAAGATTTTGGCGCATGCAATTTTATTGGAATAATATCAACAATCTCAATACAAGCATAATATCAACGGACATCAACAACGGAACAAGACCAAACTATCCGGATAGCTTTTCACCCATCTGCCTCTCTTTCCGAGCCTCCTTCCTTTGGAGAACCCGATATACGACCGGTTTTAGAACACCATCTAGACGTAGGTGACCTTGACGGTGGATCCAGAAACGCTGACGGAAGTCAAGACCTCGCCGTCCTGCTCAATGTCCATGATGGTGGCACCGGAAGGAGTGACAGTCTCACCATTGCTGATAGCCTCAGCTCCGGTGAAAGTGACCGTGCCGAAGTCAGCAAAAGCGACCAGAGAGTCACCGGATTCGAAGTCCTCAACAATCCATTCCGCATTGGTCCTTTATAATTGGTCAGTCCTTGTTGTCGGATACAGTATCAGGGATGATCATGACTTACTCGCAGAGGCTGCCCTCGACGTTACCGCTGAAGCTGTGGGTGACGGATTGACCGGTGGAGACGTTCTCGACGGTGGCCGTGCCGCTGGTGTCGCTGGTGGCCTTGACGGTAACCTTGATCGAATCGCCCTCGGAGATATCGATGTTGTCGAAGTCGTAGGCGTAGTCGGGGTACCATTCGTACCAGGCGTCGTAGTAGGTCTCACCGTCCTCGTAGCAGAAGTCGATACCGGTCTGGAGGATGGCGGTCTCGCAGGTGTCACCGTCAATACCAACCCAGGCGGAGGCACAGTACTCAGAACCACCGCCGAAGCCACCGCCGAAGCCAGAACCTCCACTTGGGGAAGAAACTGCGGGCACGACAAATTCACCAGTGACTTCGGTGTAGCCCGAGCCAATCAAGACCGCACCGGCCCAGTTAGAGCTGTACTCAACCTGGGAGATGTTGGCGTGCTGGAGAGGTGTGTTGGTGGCAGGGCTCAACGGAGGGTTGCTCTTGCGCTTCAAACCAGTGGCACGGCGGGCCTCGGCGCGAGCCTCGGCGCGGGCACGACGCTTCTCAGTGAGAGGAGCAGCCAAAGCAGCGCTGGCGAGAAGCGAGCCGGTAAGAATGGTGGTGAACTTCATTTTGGCAGAAAGAAGGTTTTTCACGAGGGGATGAAGGCACGTATTGAGCAGAAGAAAGAACCAGAGGCGATGCTTGAAGCTGTCCGATGCTGGATGGTTCCAAGGAGACTTGAGGAAGGGCTCTCGGTCCTTATTTATATGCTGCTCAGGGCAGCTTTCTGCTCGTCTGGCCACGGACGTGGTGAATTGACGCTGCGCGATACAAAAAGTTGGTTGTAGGCTCATGCAACCCCATCAACAATGGCTCCATAATTGTGATACTCCGGCGGAGATTACTCGCTTAGGCCGGCGACAATATGAATTGGAGAACGGAGTCGACCGTTCGCCGTCGGCCCTGATGGGGCATTACTCCATCCTTCAGCAACTATACAGTAGCTGCAGAAAGCCCCGTTGGCTGTTGCTGAAGTTTAGTCAGTGGGTGTCATTCGATGGAGCCCTAAGTATCCACTCTGACTCGGGGGAAGAGAGTGTGATGGGCGCGCGGACCTCCAGCCAAGACTATGAGGGCTCGTCAAGCATTTCCTAGACTATGACGGTGTCAGTTCTCCAAACTGTCTCTGTCTACGGTCATGACTCTATAGTCTGATGCCTACTTTGGTCAATTTCTCTAGGTGGCTTCGCGATGCTCATGCCAGCATCGCGACAACTCGAATTGGAATACGAGGTCATCGGTTAGAGCAAGGTATAATTGGTGCCTGGCAAGCCAATATCTCTGACAGCAGTGATTGGTGGTAAGGCCTGTTCCTCTCTCGACCGAGGAACGAACGGAGGCCCGACGGGGGGCTTATCGGTAGCGACAGCCGGACGCCATCCTCACGCCATGGCGCTGACGAATAGTGCACAGATGCGAGGTAAACTAGTGGCGGCGCGAGTGGCACAACAAGCTTTGAAAACTAGGACAAGCCTTCCAGACTCAATTTGTTTGTATGATAAGGGAGGGTTGTTCGGGGAAATTGTGGATGGGCCGACACTCGGGGATACATTCGTTTGTTAGTGAAGCCAATTAATTTAAATGGGCGGGCCGGAGCGGACTCCACTCCGGCCGCCGATCCTTTCCCGCTCTGGCTCTTCGTCCTTCTTCCAGGTCCATTAAGTTATCATCCGCCAACGTTACAATTCTTTCTGGACAATTACAATCTCAATTAATCAGTCTACTGTACTAGGCTGAAGAGAAATGTGTTTTCTTCCTCGCCTGATTCTCAGCTTGAGCAAGTTCTCTCGTCCAAGCAGCTGCTCCGTGGGGGAGCAATTTGTGTGTCTCCACATCCATGATGGCGTCCATAGATGCTTATCATGCCCATGCAGATAAGAGGCGACTGCCACTGCAGAATTAGTCTTCAGTTGGCTGCATAAGCTGGAGGAATAATCAATCGACTGCTTATCATTCCCTACACATGCTCGGATGACCCGGAAGCTATCCCTGGTCGCTAGGGTCAATTAACGGGGGGTAAGTTCTGACTTTTCCTGCAGACAGACGCAAGGCACACTGTGAGCGAAACCAACTACAACCTCGGCTAACCACTTACGGTCTGCGATAGTTGACGCACCGGCATGTCGCTATTTTGAATAGTTAGGCTATATCGGGCCTAACGGCTAATCAATGCGGTGTATTTACAGCTTCCCCTCACTCCGTCTTTCCACCCAGCATTGCACGAAGTGGGCCGACCTGCAAACTTCTATATGAGGGCGACGAACTGTTCAGCGCTGCGGATATTTCTGCAGTGTGACCAAGGTGGCCAGCCATGATTATGATGTAATTGACAGGTCCTCGAGTCCGCTCTCTCCTGCATCGACCAAGTCATGCAGCAGCCTCCTTTCAAAAACAAACCACTACAACGCCGGCTTATCTCGAGCTAAACACGTTCAGCGTCGGTCTCCGATGAGAAACCTTGCCACTCATGCAACCGCTTCAAAGTTCGCTCGCATTTGCTCTGGATGGCTTCCACTGCATCGGGGCCCAGCGCCAGTTCTCCCGGCCAATCTCGGCCACTGGCCTCGTTCTCGCCGTGGATGACATCCAAAACACGAGCCACGGCTTTTGTTGGGTCACCCCGTTGCTTGCCGTGAGCATTGCGAAAGTTTGCGAACGAAGCAGCCGTCAGATCTTGATACTCTGGAATATTGGTCTCGACAAACGTGCTGTTCTGCGGGCTCAGGAGATCTGTACGAAATTGGCCGGGTTCGACCAAAAGGGCTCTTATGCCTGTGCCGGCAGTCTCTTGGCCAAGCGCCTCGGTGAAGTCTGGAACAAAAAGCATGAATGTCCATTAGGGGTCATCAGTGGATGGAATTCGGCTCACATCGAAAAGCCGCCTTGGAAGCACTATAGGCACCCACACCCGGGTATGTCTCCCATGCACAGAGGGAACCGATGTTGACGATCGTTCCCGCACGGCGACGACGAAAATGAGGCAGCAGGGCACGAGTGAGTGCTATTGGTCCAAACACATTTGTCTGGAACTCCCTAAGACATTCATCGTAGCTACTCATGTGGTCAACAATGCACCTTTTCTTACCCCGAATCAAACCATACCTGAGATCTTCTACCGCTCCGAAGAGCGTGTAGCCAGCATTGTTCACCAGGATATCGACGCTGCCATAAATCGCAAGGGCCGCTGTTGCTGTTCGATCCAATTCCTCCTGCGATGCTGTCACATCGAGTGTGAGCGTAGCTGCGCCAAGCTCTTGCAGAGGGGCAAGCTTGGCAATATCGCGGGCAAGCGCGATGACTTTATGGCCTCGGTGGAGGGCCTGACGGGCGAATTCGTAACCGAGTCCCGACGAGCAACCGGTAATGAGATAGATTTGAGACATGATTGACACTTGGAAATTAAGAATTGAAGTTGATTACCAGTCACGAATTTGAAGCATTCACGAGCTCTTTATATGCAGGGTGGTCGTATACCATGGTGTTGCCAAGTCCGAAGAATTTCGGACGACGATCGCGATCGACGTCAAGTGACAGCGGCTTCGCCACATGCTCTCCGACAGATTTCGGGGATCTACAAAACGCGATTTCATCTCAGAAAATTGCAGCTACCTCATTTGACAGGGTCAGTCCGATGAAGATTTCAGAGCAGTCTATATTTTATTTTGTCTATCCAGGACATGTTCATCTATACCAATTTAGATCTCTATCCAGCGATCCCCCCGTCTCTCTCTAGGAGAGACTAACAAAGCAGCAAAGTTCAGACGATCTATATCTATCCGCTGTAATCGATGGTAACGGCCAAGCGGACCGCGCCGCTCGAAAGGTTTCCTCCAATACCACCCACGGCACTCTCGGCGGAGGTGTAGGCGTTATCAACGGTACCAGCATCGGTGGTGATTGAGGAGCAGGTGCCGCCCAGAGCATCGCAGATCTTCATGCCCTGGACGGTCAAGCTGGCATCCTGGGCCTGGATGGCGCTGACATCGAATCCGGACCAGCCGTTGTTGGCATCGGAGCCAAAGTCGAACTCACCCCAGGTGCAGGCATAGCCACCATAGCTGTCGGTGGGGAGGCTGCTGCCCGCGGCGGCACCGAAGCCACCATTGGAGTTCTCCATGAAAGCGACGTACTTGGTCTCACCGGCCGCCAGAGTGAGGCTGAGAGCAGAGTAACCGTACCAGCCATCCATGGAGCCGTCGGGGCCGTACTTGTTCCAGAAGACAACAGTCCAGTCTTCAGTGTTTTGGCCCGAAATCTGCATCACATATTCGTACGAGGAAGCCTCGTCGGCCGACACCTCGATCATGTTGCTACCCCACGGGTTGCCGACGTTGCCTTCATATGTGTTACCGGAGCCGTAGGAGGCGGTGCTGGCACCGAAGCCAGAGGTGGAGTAGCTTCCACTGGCCGGAGTGGCGGTCCAGTCAGAGGAGGAGGCCGAAGAGGACGAAGTGGCGGAGGAAACGACGGAGGTGGTCGAGGAAGCACCCCAGTTCCATTGGCGACGCTCGTTGCCCTGGGGCACAGCGAGGGTGCCGGCGCCGAGGGCGCTCAGCAGGAAAAGAGAGCGGGTGATAAACTGCATCCTGACTGATAGTATCAAGAGAGAGTGTGGGAGTTTTTGTTGTAGAGAACGTTCCTACGCGTCAAGCGAGGATTATGTCTGATTGAAGTGGTAAGGAAGGAAAGGATGTCGATACAATCAAGTATCGACGACAATTGATAGAGAATGTGAGTTACGATTGTTTGTAACTTGACGAAAAGACTGAAGGAAAAGACTGAACGAAAAGACTTGATGTCTTTATTGAAATGAGAGTGACTGACGAACGAACAGGTGCATAAGAAGGAGGGCGTCGGACCCTCTAAATAGCCTGCTTGAATCGACCCTGTGGGCCCCCCATCCGCATCCCCCTGGGTAGGGCTTTGGTCTGGACCATTGGGTTTACGATGCCGAGAAAGGAGACGTGTGCCACCCAGAGTGGGAATGGGTAAAAGAGAAGAGAAAGGGCAAGGGTGACGAGCGAATGCGTCAGCTCCAATCGACTCAGGAACCATGGAGAGGATCAGAGGCAGTGACAAGCACAGGAAGCCGATTGGCTGTGGGGCAGAAAGTTGGGGAGAAAAAACGCTATGAGCATGAATGGCAACGCAGGGTGGACAGCGTGGATTTAGGGTTGGAAAGACTCGACGATGGTGGGGAAAAGTGTGGAACAGTTACAGAGGTCCATTTGTGAAGGAAGACAGCAGCGGTATGTATTGCCTCCTCATTTCTATTTGTCGTGCCGTTAACGTGACGGACAATCAACCTTGCAAGGATAAGTAACACGAGGCAATACCAAGAAAATCCCTTTGTATCAGCACAAAGGGGTCTTCTTGGTATTGTCTCGAGATGCGGCACCTGCTGGCCTTGAAAGAAGAAGTGAAGCCGAACAAGAGCCAGAAGCGGGTCCAAGTAAAGATTCTTCTACGGGGCTAGTCAGAAGAAGATCAAAATGTAGACTAGGGCACGAGAGCAATGTATTATCCAAGAGGATTGGCATGTCTGTGGTCTCGGGGACTTTTCTGCCAGTGGGTACTCGGGTTTTCCACTTTTATTCTGTCTTCGGGCCTCTGCTGCTGTTTTGACAGCGGTTTGTTTTTCCCAGCTAGGTGAGCTCTTTTTCGATCGATTCTTCGAGGCCACAGGTCGCTCTTCTTCGCCCTTGTTCGTCCTCTTGTCATCCCTGTAGATATCCGAAAGAGCCCTCCCATCGCATTGTTTCTACAATGCGCTTTCCAGACCTAAAAAAAGCGCACTTGACACAGATGCCCTAGAAGACCAACAAAGCGCAAGCAGAACAATGCAGCCACGGCTCCAAACTCTCGGCCAGGGACCGCGGCTCCACTTTTTTCTATGTACTAAGCCCAGCATGTGCATCTCCGCTGACTCATCCAGCAGGACCTTTTGGAAGCTGACCAATGGCAATACAATCCATGAGCAGCATCTCCCCGGGTTTATCGTACTCAATGCTCATTGGCAATCGTACAACGTACAACCACGGAAGAGATGATTATATTTCCTGTTCAGGCCAAGATGCAAAGCCCGACCCATCGGAACCGGTCCTTCTGCAAAACACAAAATTCGCACTCCCACCAAGCCCCTGCACCTCAAGGCCATGGGGCTTTTAGGTCACCGCGACGCATGGAACGGTCGGTGTGCGCGTACCTGGCGATGAGCCAGAGATTGCACCTAGTCCCAGCCCACGGGTTTCCAGTCGGTTACTTCCATCTGGTCCACGCCTTTTTTTCCATATTCTACTTGCCGAGCCTTGTCCATGGACCAATGTTTGATTTTTCCTGAAAGAGAAAAAGAGAATGAGGAAAGGATACCGAAGGGCCCGGGAGCCTTTGGGGCTACTGATTCTATGCTATAGGGCAAGAGTTTTAGAGGCATACACACTACACTTGCATACAATCCACTGAGAATGGCTGGATTTCTTCTGTCAAGTGGGACATAAGTGCAGTACCTCCTCCACTTTCAACTCAGGCCCTGCGAATGAGACTTTGACGGGCTTGGTGTGCCCTAACGGGGTACTAGCACAGCAGACAAGTTTCTGTTATGTAGGTCCGCTCCACCACCTTCTACGTAAAGGTTCTAGACTTTGACTTTGCGCACGATGCAGGATCTGACGAAGTTAATCTAGCCACCGGAGTTCAACCCACTCAGGTTCAGGACGTGGCATTGGAGTCTTGCTACATGTGCCCATTGACTAAACGCTGCCTAGATCAAGCCAGTTGTCCATTCGTTCCTCGTTGGAATTGACCTGTCGTTTCAGCAAGCGTTGAGTCGCTTGGAGCGACAGCGCGGCACGTCACGCGGGTTTGTCTAAAACTGCTCGCGATCTTACTGGGGAGACTTATCGCCCCCGCTCTCGAGTTGACCTACGACGACAGATCCAGCAGAATCAATCAAGCGATGAATGACCTTCGTAGTGATTTGATTTCATCAAAATCAATGCCTGAGTGTACGACATGACCTCTCACTATTATGAACGGATTGGGAACGCCACTTTCCTTGCGCCGTACCGAGGAAGTCGTTATAAGGGGTCACTTTGTGTGTCGATGGCCGAAACGAATTGAGAAAAGGTTCGTTGTTTGAGGAAATTGATATGGTGAGTTTCGTTACAACGAGGATCCACAGTAACCCATGTCCCTCGCTCGCCGCGCGAAGTTGAAGTCGCACTTGTGCCTATCCTGTCACAGTAACGGCAATTTTGACTTTGTATTCTCAAGGCCGGGGCCAATGGGGCGGTTGAAATGCTTACAACGAATGGCCATCTTTGATTTATGAACCAGAAATGCAGGCTTTAGTTCCGCTGTTATCCGACAGGCTGAGTTTGCTGGCCTGCGGAATGGGTTTATTACGTTGTCAGGAGAGGGTCAATCGATGCTTTATCAGTCCTTGTGGTCGGGGCCTGTTTCTTTACAGTCGAATGCAATGTAAACTTGGTCTGATGTCTTGTCAAGGTAGCATGGCTTGACCACGAACCCTCGATATACTGCAGTGTGGGCAAGGGTTCAAGTTTCTATTGTTTACTTGCAGCTGCAATCGCAATATCGCCCTTACAACCACTTTCACTTCTGCTTCCAAGTTCACCTGCACTTGGTTATCGTTGAGCTCAGATCCGAGGCACACGTCGCGTCCGAATGTTGTGTCGTTCCTACATATTTTCCATCCAGAACCCAACCCGAAACTCCAAAACAGCACAACCCAGAAACCTTTCTCAAAGAGCATGCATTAAACCTGAGAGGCCCGGAAAGAAAAGAAGCCCATACCCATACAGTTTCCAAGTATAGACTCCCGACCTTACTCTCTCTGCAACAACACCAAGACCCCCATCACACCCAGCATCACCGTCTTCAACCACGGATGCTCCGACAGAAGAATGGTCACATACCCGACAAACGGAATGTACCCAAACACACTGCCCACGACATCCTCCCGATCGAGGTAATCCTGTCCGCGCGCGTAGAGTTCCGTATCATCGGCGATGTTGTTGTCACCTTTTGTGAGGAGTTTCGAGTTGGACCTGTTTGCATATTCATAACCCAGAATTAGCCTGATGCCCTTGCTTTTTGTTCAACTCATCTCAACCTCAACCCTGCTGCAAATGCGTAGACTCCCCTCACTCCAGAAATCAAAGCAGCGGAGACACTAAAAAAGAAAACAAAGGAAGGAAGAGGAACCCACTCATCACCAAACTGTCGCACCACCCGATGTACGATCGGAATCTCCTTATCTTTGACCTGATACACCACGATCTCTCCCACGTTCAGCATGGGCTGGTTGTTCCGGAGGAAGAGGAGGTCGCCGCGCTGGAAGGCCGGTTCCATCGAGCCACTGAGGACGACGACGATCGGGCTGGGCGAGTTGGTGAGGACGGAGAGACCTTTCCACATCTGGTTTGTTGGTCGCCATGGTCAGCCACCTCTTCGCACAAAGCTCCATTGTCAATTGTGTAGGGTAGAAGAGCTGCTGCGGTTCTCGCGCGCAGCTAGCTACGAGCCTGCGAAAACCCGCGCACGCACTCTGCTTTGCGGGAACGTACCATAAAGGCGGTGCTGAGTACCAGACCGAAATTCAAGATCTGGGCGGCGGTTTGCCGGACATTTTGAATGCCGGAGAGCATGATGGGCGTGTGTAGAGGCCGGTGATTGAGGGGTGGGTGGACTTTTTTTTCTCTCCCTGATATATTCGATGTTGATTTGGCTAACAGGTGGCCTTCTTTTGTTGATAGGGCGGATGGGTGCGATGATGTTGCTTCGCATGTGTCAGCAGCAGCGGCTTCTCCGGGGAATGGTCATGTGATTGGATTCTTCCAGAGATGGTTGGAGGGTGGGTTGCTGGCTGTGCTAACCGTTTTGGGTTGGGGATTTGTTCTCAGCTCGTTTGAAGAGGTGCAGAGTGCATGAAGATTATGATGTGGAACACCGAGACTTTTCAGTGCATCATTGGAATAACTTGAAGCCTCGCTACGATTATATCTACATATGTTGTGTATTCAGGTTAATGGCAAGATACTTATCATCCCATGTGCGGGGTTGTGAAAGCCTACACCCCGACACCCTTAGCAGAGTCATAAGAGCGGCAATCTCTTACCTATGCACCGGGTCTTTCCAACGGCCACCTGATAAATAAGACGGTAAGTTACTCATGATGTCAATATAGAGTGCCTCCACCCGACACCCCTCCTGTGTGACTATCATTGGAATTCATAACATGAAAAGATATTCGCCCATGCCATCACCGAGTAGCTCTCCAGCCTGGACTAGGGCCTACTCAATGCCCACAGTACGCATACAACTAGGTCCTCCGTGAGAAATAGCAGGCGGGGTACCTCAAGGGTGGAGAAGAATCACAAAGAAGCACTGTCACGCCATATGTAGGTGGAGAGAGATGTCACTTTAGTTCGGCTACTACGGAGAGATGTTCTGCCATTCTCTCGGCCAAGTTATCGGCTTCTTCCCTGGCCCAATGGCACTAACCTTCAATGAAGCTATATAACCAAGTTAGTAGTAGTACTACCAACTCCTTGTTCTTCCGTTTACTCATTAATGAGCAGTTGAACCGATTGTCGGGCGCAATCCGCTTAAATCATCCATATGCTGGTAGCGGGAAAACCAGACTATCTTAGTTCGAATTGTTCGGTCAGCTAGTCCTTCAGTAGGCACGATTATATAAAGCCCGGAGGAGAGAACGAATGTCACTCCCACCAATGCGCCGCCATAGGAATTAGAGCTACGGAGTAAACAAGCTAGAGACTAGATCGGCGTGACCGAAACCTGCCCAATGACCCAGTCGGATCCGTCAAAACAAGGCGAGCTGAAGAGGTGTCAAGCACGCTAAGCATGGCACGTGCGGGGCGCAGCTCTCTGGGTTGGCTTATCAGCAGCTGTCACCTCCTATCGATCCTGACGAGTCCAGACCAGCGTTTGCCGATCTTGCAATGCGAGCCGTGCCGATGACGGAGGTGGGAGCGATAGCTGGGGCGAGAGGTAGGACGATGCTCCAGGCAGGCTTCCGACTGAGCTGAATCAAGAAGTTAAGTAGGCTACCCTGCCTCTGTCAGCCTTAGCCTTGCTTCTCTTCCCAAAACGCCCTCGATTTGATCAGACCTTTCTATACCCACTATCAGTAAGCATTCCACCATCAAACTTGTCATCATGACCATCTCCCACTACGGCGTCTGGATCGGCCAGCCCACCCGCTACGAGGCTCAGACCGACGCCGAGGATCCCAAGTCCCCTCACATCTACCTCTACTTCAAAGACGACACTTCTTCCCGCAAGCAGCTCGAGGCCGCCATCAACGTCAAGTCCACCGATAAGGATAGTCGCCTCGTCTACTGGTTCGACCGCAACTTCACCCACGCCATCACCGAGCAGCTCGACAGCCTGGACCAGGGCTTCCACCTCCTCAGCAGCTCCGTGCACAGCCAGTCTCGCCGACGCCGCGAGACCACGGCGAGCATCCAGGGGCTGGACTTTGTCCGCACCAAGGGGCTGGTGGACATCGATGCTGGCACGGTCCTCGGAGCGGACGGTGACCAAGACATCCTCGATCAGGTGGACCCCATCCTGACGGACGCGATCGACCAGAAGGCGACCATCTACATCTTCGGCTCCTCTTATGGCTCGGGGATCCATGATATCCACATGAATCAGGGCAGCGAAGGCTACACGAACGGGATCTATGAAGACGGGGCGTTGCTATTCAAGTTCGCTGATGAGCATTGGGAGGCGATCTTCTTGGCCTTCGCGTCTCAGAAAATCCCCACGGATGACAAGGGTGAGCCCGAGAGTGATAGCCAGTCGTTGGCTACGATTTTGGGTCAGTAGGCGCGGGGCTGGTTTCGGGGTGAGGGGCAATGGGGTGAGACGTGTGTCACATCGCAGATTGATTTGATAGGTTGATCAAGCGCTTCAATATATCATCAGTTCCAATGAACTCCGACTGTAAGCAAGAGATACAGTAGAAGACTATCAGTGATCGGATAAAGCATCAGTGATTGACTAATCATCTCAAAAATTAAAGGGAAGAGGTCTCAGTATATCGATTGTGGAGGCTGTTCGTTGACGGCCTTTGCCGAAGCCTGTAAATCAGTATTAACGTTCTAGTAAACAGAAAATAAAGTGTAGTCAACAGCACCAAAGCCACAGTGATACCGTTCATCCCTGTTGCATTCTCTCAAGCATCGAGTCCGTAAACGCCCAGAGGAGCGAGGAATAGTCCGAACAGAAGGTCAACCCCGTGTAGAAGGTGCTCCTCTGCCCCTGCAGCGCATACAGCCGGCGATAGAATCCCGACTGGATGTCCGCCGGAGAAACCATCATGGTCGTTGGGGAATGATCCGCGAACGCCACGACCTCGGGCTCACGGATCGAATACGTGCCTGCGGTCTTCATGCGGGCAAAATCCGACGCGATGAGCTGCTTGGCGTCCTCCGCGGTGAAATTCATCTGCCCCACGATCTTGGTGTTTGGGTGACCCGGCACCCCCATGTACTGGATCAGGGACTCAAAGGGCATCTCGGGGAGGAATCCCGGTCCCGTGCGGGGGTTGGTGTTGGTCACGTATCGGCCATCCGGAATGCCGCTGTTGCTGGTCACCGCCACGTAGTAATTGCGCCAGGACCACTTGCTGAAGAGGTCACTCTCTTCTTGAGTGAGATCGAAGCCCTGGAGTTTTTCCACGGTTGGAGCGTGGGTCACGAGGAGCTGCTCGGCTTCGATGGTGTCGTGGGTGCCGTTGAGATGCTGGACGGTGAGCGTGACGCCGGAGTCGGAGCGTTTGGCCTCGACGACCTTGGTCTGGTAATGCACGTTGCGAAGTACTGCGGCCGCTGCCCGGTACAACTCGTACATCCCCTTCTCTGGTGTGATGTAGCCGCCGAGGACGGCGGATACATGCGGTACACCGAAGTTCTGGAAGGTGTAGAGGGCTGGCATGTCGAGCATGTTCCCGACCCCGTGAGCCCAGAAGAACAACATCGGTATCACGTCCTCGAGGGAGTTCTCTTCGATGAACTCTCGCAACGGGCGGAAGATGGCTTCGGGAACTGGATCCGGCAAATCGTAGAGACCCTTATCAAGGAAGGGGAATTGCCGCAGTGCCAATCGATATCGGACGAGCGCAAGCAGGGACTGGACGAGGCCGACGGGCGACTCCGCCATTCGACCGGTAGTGAAGTCCACAAAGTCCTCTCCTTTGAAGCTGGGAAGGACACGGTGCCATTTGACCCCCAGGCGGGAGAAGAACTTTCTGCTTAGTTTGTCGTCGAAGACACCCTGGACGCCGTAGTCGACGTGGCTACCGTTAGGGAGGTAGTAGGTCTCCGTGTGGCCACCGAGCCGGTTGTTCTGCTCGATCACCACCACCCGCTTTCCGCGATCCTGAAGGCGAATGGCGGCGTATGTGCCGGTTGCTCCGCCCCCCAGAATGCAGACATCGTATGGTTTCGTTTGTGCCTTGGTAGTATTGATGCGAGATGGAAGACCTGTCGCCAGGGGCAATAAGAAAAGTATGAGACTATAGCATAGCGAGATTGTACAGATCATTGGGCCGATCTATCAATGTTAATTGAATAACTATGGTTCTTGCGGCTTGAAGAGCTCCGCCTACGCATAGCGCATAACGCAAAGGTCTGTGACTTGGGAACACAGGGTAGCACCTTTATAAGAGGCACTTAGATGTGTGAAAATAGGGAAGTAAGAGGAAGAAGGCAATAGAGAAAAACCTGAACGCCACAATCATGGACATACACCGCCTGGCAGACAACTTATGACACAATCAACTCGACTTCTCCACTACTCCCACCAACTCCCGGAATAAGCCCTGGATTGCTTCCTTCTCTCCCGCCCAGAAACCTCCCTCTCCTCCCAACCCCAGATCCTCCCCCATCGCGGCGCGTGCCATGATCCCCTTCTCGGGAAAGGTTAATCCAACAGTGCTCTCCAGGGGCACCATTCTCAATCCCTGCAGCACCTGCTGCAACTGCGCCGCGGCTTTGCCACCCCCATGACCGCCATAACTGACAACCATCGCCGGCTTTCCCTTCCATTCATTGAAGAGATAGTCGATCGCATTCTTGAGACTCGCAGGGTATCCCCAGTTGTACTGGGGGGTGACGAAGATGAATGAATCGTAGCGCGAAATCTCCCGCGACCAGGCCTTGGTGTGCTCGTGAACGTAACCCTCAGCTGATGTGATACGCGACGGGATCCCCGGCTCATTATATAGTGGCAGGTTCCATTCCGCGAGGTCAATGACTGTAATGCTTGCTTGCGGATGTGCTTGCTTAATGGTCTCGTGGATGAAGGTGCTGATTTGAAGCCCGGCACGGGGTGAACGTGTGCTGCATACGATAAGGCCGGTGGTTGGCATGGTTGGTTCTGCTTTTTAGGATTTGTTGGGAGGGGTGGAATTGAAGACGATGCCTTGTTGGGGGGGTACGCAGGATTCCTCGGTGTGACTTCGATCGTATGTATGCTACACTTCATCCAGGCTTAAGATTTCATGATTTATATACCATTATCGCCTTCTCGAGAATTCAGAAGGTCACTTCCGTATTGGGAAGTAAAGACCGCGGGGCCGCGGAGGTGGTCTGGCCGAAAGGCCGCCGACGGCTGATCAGTTTAGACTGGGTCCGTGCTCACCTCAGCTCGCAGGGGATGCCTAACATCGGCTCGGGACTGAGGAGAGGTGTCCATTCCCCCTCAAACTCTCCCGCTTCCACCAGCTTCCAGTCTCGCCATGGCTTTCACCATTTAATCCTCAAAATGAGTACCCCTCCTTTTCCCGGCTTATGGACAGATTAATGAGGCGGTACATATCCTTGGGAAACCTGACATGATCGCATGATATACAGTGACTGACTCGGCTCGTTATAGGTGATACAGACATCACCAGAGGAGCTGTACTCCCTGAGCTACTGTCCTGGTCCTAGTCGCACGGAAGACGATAGTACCATCGGTTTGCCGGTTTCCAGAACGTCCAATGGCACGAAATGTATGGTTACACGCCCGCTTCCTTTTCAGTCGGATATACCTCAACGACCCTGTGACGAACACCTTTGCCGAACAACGGGATTGAACTGCACATCGATTTCAAGTCTGTACGGGTACGACCATTATCAAGGACCAGGCCAGCGGTCGACCTCACACGTCGAGCAAAGGGCCGTCAATGGGCCAAAAAAAAACGATTAAGCCGAACGCGGGGGTTGAACCCGCAACCTTGAGATTAAGAGTCTCACGCTCTGCCGATTGAGCTAGCCCGGCTTGGGTGAAGGAAGAAATAATCGGATTCTATAGCCGAACGCGGGGGTTGAACCCGCAACCTTGAGATTAAGAGTCTCACGCTCTGCCGATTGAGCTAGCCCGGCTTCCTTGAGTGCTCGATTCAAAAGTATGACGCTAAGAACGTGCGCTAAAGCTATCCGGGTCTAGTGGTGCGCTTGTTCAATATCTTGATCACGTGGAGTGTGCTTGCCTCTATGTCCTCTTCGTAGATACATTCCCTGGATACAAAGGGTGCCCTGTTCTTGTCGAGTGGCCTGGTCTTGCGGATACGTGGGTATGACAGTGTAGAGGGTTGATCCCCATGGGTTTTGCTGCGTAATTGTGCTGTCTTGCGGCGGTATATATATTCAGGTACATTGCGCGATATATCAGGACAGGTAAGCATGCTACTCCATCGATCACCTAGAATGACAGTGACAACGTGTGGTATCGAGGCAATAGATCACCTACATTGTATGTCATACCAGTAAGTAAATCGAGTTGAGAATATGTACATATATGAATGTCTGATCATACTCCATGCCCGAGTCCACTCTATGCAATATGACAAGTACCCACTCGCTCAAGCATCAGCCACAGAGAGCTTCGTCAATAACCCACTGCATGCACCGCATGTACGTGATAACCATGACTCTTCGCCACCAGATCATCCCAATTCTCGATTGTGTCCTTCATAACATCCGTTCCTGTAGTGAGGTTAGAACAAGTGAGCTCCAAGCTGGAATGAATTGGATACATACCCCACATGAAGTCCTGCCAACTGGGATCAGCCCAAAGATCGGGGTTCTTGCCCGAGCCTCGGATGGCCTCGTCTCGCTTGACCTGCTCCTCCCCATCGGGCAGGTGCAGCGCCTTCCTCGTCACTGCGGCGCTCTTCTGGATGCGCTCGGCACGGTCCTTGCGTACCAGCTCATAGACTGCCAATGCCTTGGGAACCGAATCGGTCATGGAAAGCGCGCACGTAAGCACACCAGCATCCTCGATTGCCTGCGCAGCACCCTGGGCCACATAGGGCAGCATCGGGTGACACGCATCACCCATCAAAACGCATTTGTTTTCCACCCACGAGGGGAGGGGGAAGTGCGAGTTCAGAGTCCACTCCATGACCTCGCCGTCCGGAACATAACTCAAGAGACTTCGGACCAAATCATTCCACTTGCTGTAGAAGGAGATCATCTCCTGTTTGTCGCCTTTACTGGTCCAACTCTCTTCATTGGAAGCTCCCGGCTTCTGCGGGTGAAGCAGTACCATGTTATACACGGTGTTGTTCTTTATAGGGTACGCCATGATATGTCCTCCAGGTCCCATCCAACGCATTCCGACGTTGTGGTTCAAAAGCTCCAGAGCACGCTGATCGCCCTGCAGCTTGTCTTTGGGGATCAGAATGCGGTAGGCCGCATCGCCGGTAGGTTGGCAGATGTCTTTGACTCCGTGGTGGGATGCGATCTGATGACGCAGATCGGACTTGATCCCGTCCGCAGCAATCACCACATCTCCAGAGATCCACTCGCCCGATTCGAGCTCAACGGTGGCTTCGAAGTCGTCAACCGCTCGGACGACCCGGGAGCTGGTGCGCAACTCGATGTTCGCGTCCCGAACTCCGTCGAGAAGAATGCGCTGGAGATCCCCACGATGGATCACTGCCAGCGGCGCATGGTATTTTTGACCGACCTAAAATAGGGTTAGCAGGACGGCTAATCCTCGTCATATTAGATGTAGGTGATTATACCTGAGGCATCAAAGGCGCGGTTCCCAGTTCCTCATTGTTCGCGTATCGGCGCAAAGAGTTCTTCTCCAGCACATTCGCCTTGTCCATGACTCTGTCGAGAAGACCAAGCCGTCCAAGTATCCGCGCAGCATTCGGAGCGACTTGAATGCCTGCACCCACCTCTGCGATCTCATGAACTCGTTCCAGGATAAGGACTTCATGTCCAGCCTTCTTCAAACCCAAGGCTACCGTTAACCCGGCGATGCCAGCACCCACCACAATCACCTTCAGGGGGTGTTTGGCCTTGAAAGACCAGGAAAAGTTGTCTTGGAAGCTATCCATTGTGTTGATACTTGTTTGCTGATTCTGTTCAATGGAACCATATTTTCGAGCTATTCGTCGGCGGTTTTATATGCCACGCGTGGTGCTTGTATCTCGCGATGTCATTGATGACGACATGAATTTGGATGGGCTTTGGTCCATTGTGGGGCAGCATCGACGAGCTATATCAAGCATGACGCGGGGTCTATGGGCACGGTTCTTCATCACGGTAAAGATATCCATGGAAATCGAAGAACAAGTGAGAACCACCTGGCTCGTAGACTGCTGAAAACGGCGGCAGGGAGTGGGGCCGCGAAGAGCCGGGACTGAGCTCGGCAGCTTCGCCGGGTTCCAACATCGGGCCGGGCTTGATCAAGTGTCCATAGGTTGCAACGGTCTGGCATGAGTCTGTCAGTATCATTTGGAGCATAGAAAAGCGAGTATGTAACATACATTATCAGATTATGCTTACCGCCTGAGTATGCCGAGGTGGTGTTACCACCTTAGTCCATTCATTCAAATGACCCGTCGAATTCTTCCGCATCTACGGAGACAGGAGCCCCCCAATAAGTGCTGAACATTAGTCCACAATCCATGCTAATCCGGCATTATGAAAATAAATATGTCACAAGAACAAGCCTCGAAGCTTTGAATAGTATGCCATAGCACAGATGAGCAAGGATGAGTCGAGCATGAGTCATGTGTCAGCCACGCCACCGCCCCTGTGCTTAGCGTCTCTTATCGGCTGGATAAGATCAGATCCCAACCGAACATATCAAGATAAATACTTAACACAATGCCTAAAATGTTACCATGTCAACAAACCACAGTCTCACACAGTATTCGAGTGCACAAGGACAAGGACAACAAGCATCATCTGCCGAGCATCTCCCTCTCTTGAGAAGTCCTCAAACTATCCAATCAATGCTCGCTGGCACTGTTACTACCTCCTCCCAGACCAACCACCTATCCACCATGGGATCCGATAATCTATACACCCCACCCGGAGGGATGCACGCCATTCCCCACCACCTCCTAGATCTCCGCGATGACTCCCAGATCGACCACGACATCATCCATGCAAAGCCCGTGAGCGACGAGAAGAACATCTGGTTCTTCTGGACGAGCGGATACACAAACATGCATCCATACACCCAGCGCAACGTGCGGGCATGGCACCGTCGCTTTTCCAAGCTCGGCTGGACGATTCGCGTTCTCGACTGCGAGAACGTGCGCGAGTACCTCGACGTTACCGACCCGACCCTGTTCCCGCGCGCCTTCGCCGACGGCACCATCAGCGGCGCCTACGCACCGCAGCACACGTCGGACCTCGTTCGCTTCCCGCTCCTCCTGCGGTACGGCGGGGTCTACGCTGACGTGGGGTTTATTCAGATCGGCGATCTGGACCGGCTGTGGAACGAGACGATCGCGAACCCGGCGTCGCGGTTCGAGGTCCTCTCCTATTTCACGGGCCTTCCCGACCAACGCGGCTTGACGAACTACTTCCTCGCGGCGAGAGAAGACAACCCGCTCTTTCTGCGGTGTCATAAGCTGTTGCTGAAGTTGTGGGAAGGGAAAACGTCCACGGACGGCATGCATGCGAGTCCGTTGCTGAAAGGGGTGCCGTTGATGGGGGGTTCGTTCAAGATCGAGGAGGAGGGCAGCAAGATCATCGACGAGGAGGAGACCAGCAAGCTGCTGACGGATTACATCATCCAGGGCCAGGTGGTGTCGATGGTCATGGGGCTTGTGGACGAGGAGGACAGCGGTGGTGGCTGGAACGGGCCGGAATATGTCCACGACCACCTCTACGGGATCGACTTCATGGAGGGGTCCCAGCTGATCAACGTCTTCACCGACTGGGACGGGCGCAAGGCGTTCGAGTTGATGTCGCTCCCGCTGCCAAAGGCAGGCGAGGCGGAGACGCCGGAGCAGAAGCAGGCGCGCGAGGTCGTGGAGGGCTGTCTCACGCGGAGTTTTGGGTTCAAGCTCGCCCACGGATTGATCTTGCGGGTGTACAAGGAGACGCTGGGTTCGCTGTGGAGAAAACACGAGGGCTCCGATATCGTTCCCGGAACGTACGCGCATATGCTGCGCCATGCGATCGTGTACTGGAACCAGGATGCGCTGCCGCCGACGCTCGAGTTCACGAATCTGGAGCCGATTAAGAGGGGTCCACTGCTGAGGGATGAGTGAGTAGTTGGGGTAGTTCGGGATTAAAT